GCATTTCCGCTTTATTTCCCCCTTATTATACAATGCATTTTCCGCTTTGTTCGCCTTTATTTCCCCTTTTATTGTTTGTTTGGGTGGGATACAGTGAAAGTTTTCTCCAACACAAATTGGCGTCGTAAACAACAAAAACAATAGTTAACACAAGAGTTCAATACCTAAGAATCAATGAGAGTATTCCCTACAAGGTGGGATCAGATAAGCATCTGCAGAGATTTCAACAATCTTCCCAACCAGACAGTTAACAGTCACAATCTGAATCACCCCGTGACCTTGAGCCTGGCCAAACATGACCTTACTGGAAATAGTCCAGCGGCATGTAACAGTAAAATTAAGTAACAAGTAGTAAATCTATAACGAAAGTCACATAATAAAAATTCAGACGAGTAGGACTGAAGAACACAAATTGTAGTTAGGAGAGATTTGAATTCAGTTTCAGTTTTGGTTTGGAAAGGACGGGAGGCTTGATGGCCTGTGTTAGTCCTGGAAATGATGGTCTCTCAGCTTATCCAGCTTTCTTTTGCAAGAGTCGACGGATGGAGCCTCAACCACGTACTGAGTTAATGAATTCCACTCGTTGATTATTCGATGGGAAAGTCGGTAGTCAGCTGACAAGTAATTCGTTCTGGGCTTGTGAACTTTTTTGGAGTGTCCTCGTAGATTTTCTGTTTTGGAAGACAAGAAAAATGAGGGCATATCAGGTGCTAATTTATCACTAAGCAATTTGAAAACTGTAATCAAGTCGCCTCTGATTCTTCGATATGACAGCGGGAATAGGTTTAGCTTGGTCAGTTAGTACCACACATGAGCTTCTCTATTCCGGGAATCAGCTTAGTTGCTGTTATCTGAACCCTTTCCAAGAGTTCACTGTCTTATTTTAGGCAGGGGTTAGCTGCTTGCATGCAGTACTCAAGTTTAGGACGCACGAACACTGTATAGAAAGTCAGAAATGTTTTCGCGTCGAGATGACTAAAAGCCCTGCTTATGAACCATAAAGTTCTAAAACCTTTGGCGGCAATGTGCAGTAGACTTTAAGTCTTGACTAACGATGACTCCTCAGTCATTGTGTTTTTGAACAATAGGTAGCTCGGTGTTATTCATCGTGTATGTATATGTACTTTGGTGGCCAATATGCATCACAATACACTTGTAAGTATCTATCGGCAATTGCCAGGTTTGGGACCATTCAGATAATTTCTCCAGGTCATTTTGAAGTTCTAAGCTATCGCCCTTACTTTGTATCGCTCTCCATATCTTTACATCGTCAGCATAGAGTAAGACCGATGACGATAGTAGACGAGGGAGGTCATTTACGTACAGAAGGAATAACGCTGGCCCCAAATATTTACCCTGGGGACTCCACTAAGCACAATTTCCCAGCTAGACAACTTGGAGTTCACCCGTACTCTTTGTTGAGGCCCAAATAGGAAGTCTTTTATCCACGTCAATAGATTGCCTCCAATCCCGACATTCCTTAGCTTATATAACAGCCGGTTGTGCAGAACTTTGCCGAAAGCTTTGCTGAAGTCGATGCAGGCTACGTCTACAGGTAACTTTTGGTCCTTAAGAGCGCACCAGCCTTGACGAGCGACTAATAAGTTTGTCAGACAAGAATAACCTGTTCTCAAAGCATGCTGCTTCTCCGAGAGGATCTGGCTTTCATCGAAGTACTTAAACAGCTCCTTCCAAATAATCTTTTCTAAGATTTTAACAACCACACTAGTTAGGCTAATGGTTTGGCAATTCTCAGGCTTATGTTTTGTACCTGTTTTGAAGACAGGACTTACTATGGCGTTCTTCCAGTCTTTTGGTAGACGACCCTGGGTTACAGATATATTAAAACATATGCCTAAAGGGTTCGCAACAAAGTTAGCTAATTCCTTTGGTAACCTAGGACGCAGTTCATCAGGTCCCGTGGTTTTGCCTACGTCAGGCTTAATTATCAGACCAAAGACATCAACTTCTTTCATGGTAACGCTGTCCAGTGTTTATGTGGGGGGATTTTCATGGAATGGTGAGAGGGTGTTTCCATGGTATATACACTGCTAAAATATTTAGAGAATACTTGAGCTTTGCCCAAGTCGTCCTCCACTAGTGATGAGAACGACTAAAGGTTAAAATACTCAACAGTGAGAAGAAACGAAATAAACGACAGTACTGCCCAGCGAAATGATGTGGAGGGATTTCAGCGTTCTCTTTCCCTTACGTCAAGTGTTATACCACATCCACTGTTTGGTGGTAAGGTCAATACTTTTATCGACGTCAATAACTTTGGGACTAAAATGCCTCCGATTTTTACTCAATCACATCACACGAGCTATCTAGCACTGCTCTTTTTATTCCATTCTATCTTAATTCTGATTTGTGTTATAATAGTCATCAATGTAATACATTTCTCAACTTTTGCAACTGGAGTTACGTTTTAGAGACAAATTGTCGGTACTCTCGAGTTAATTGTGACGTGAGTGTCAAGAATCATATAGTTAAAACTTATCAAACGGGAAGAGCTTGCGTTTATTGAGCTTTCATGTCCAGTAGAAACTGATCACTGATGATTCTAGATAGTGATCATGTTATATGAAACTGATTAATTGACAGCTCCAGTAAATAAGTTCGATACACTCCTCTGAGTTCCTAAGAAAATATTAAACTCCTTCTTGAAGAACGCTCGCAAATATGCTTGAGCTACTCAAGCCAGTGGCGAAGTTCAGGCTTTGGCTATTCGTAAGAAGTTGAATGTTTGTTTATAATTCAGTTTACTAAATTTTATCTCTAATTTCTGATTATTTCCCCTGCAGTTGTTTGTTGTAAATGAGTAAACGTGTGTCTAAAAAGCCAAGTCATGAGGCAGTCGTCTCTGAGTCACTTATATTCCAGAGTGGTCTGAATTCTTCCTCGCCGGGTCTGGATTCCAGTCCCCGAAATTGAGTTCGTGGCTTATCCTTAGATATGTTGCCGAGTGTCTTATTATTGGCGGTCAAGGAGGAAGCATTTTATTTTCATGCTGTAAATGAGGCCGAATAAAGCTTTCGAATTGGCCCGACAAAAAGAGTCTCCCAAGTTATCATTGCGAAGCTTGTTCTATCGGGTTTTTTTGCGGTTAATGTAAGATTTTGTACTAAGACACCAACTCCCTTTTCAAAAAGTGACATTTTTAAAGAGCAGTTAATTACTTTATATGCTCGGCTTGTAGTCTGTTTCAGATTGGCTGTTTTGCACTTCGAGGGGTTGGAAGCAAGTTCATTATTATCGGCCCAACTCCAAACCCGATTCCGATTTTTCTGAATCGTAAACTTATCATCCTGGCCACAAACTCTTCCCCGAAGCCAAACATTTCCAGCTAACCTAGTACTTCATAGGGTGTTTGAAGAGGAGGGCCATGTATATGAATTAAAAGTAAACGAAGCCCCCTTTTATGAACCCTATGTGACTCCATTAGGGTATTCCGTAGCTGGAAAAAAACACAGAAAATCTATCTTAAGCCTAAAATGACTGGTAATTTACACATAAGCTGAGCCATTCTACTAGTGGTTGCAGCATAATGAATGCCCTATTGAGCTGACGTAGATGCTCTCGTTGATGTATGTTTCAAACGTTAATTAAAATGTTTAAAAATGCTAATTGCTCAAAATCTCTACGGCACTGTCTTCGGTGTTGGTTGGGTTAGTAACACCAAATAACTCGGAGACTGAAGGTTTAGTTTGTGGAGACGAGGCCGAACGACGAAATAAGCTTTTCGGGGTGGAGACAAATATCTCAATCAGCTTGATATAGGCTCTGATGCCTTTGTGTAACAGTTGTTAACTTGTCTGAACTGACCAGATGAGTCGCTATCGCCAGTTTGTCTGTGTTTCTTCCAGTAGTGTCGTTCCAGCTTTAGCTGTAGAAAGGCGTAATTCCATATGACGATATGTTGCCTGTAAATGTTAGGGAGTTTTTATGGGATAGACTTATTAGCAGCACACATTATTGAATACAATGGGAATTCCCAGAGAACTCAGTGGTGTTTATATTCAAGTTCTTTGCCGCTCTCTTGTTTCTCTTTTCCAGCATCACGCTCTCAATGCACAGATGTGGAGCCTTAGAAGCCTGGAACATATCTGGTGCACATGCTTTTTTAAGGTCACAGCCCATACGAAGCCCTCTATGAATTTACTTTGTATGAAATATAAACTTAAAAGGTTGCAAAAGTGTTGTACTCGTCTCTTCAAAAGAGATATAAATCTTTTAGACCAAGTGCAGAGACGAGAAATCAAATGGGTGACAAGCCCAAGACATAAATCCCACGTCCACAGACCTAAACATCCGGGATTATTTCCTCTGAGCAACAGGAGAATAAGAGGTAATATGATGATGGCATACATATTGAGTACACCAAGTTATTCAAACACGGGCATATTACTAGAACACCACCACAATGCTTCTCGAGGCAACCCTCGGAAAATTACACTCCAAAAGTCGAGTAAACAGGTACTGTCCCACTCTTCCTCGTTGAGAGTTGCCCTATTTTAAAATACTGTCCTGAGTGAAGTAACCAAAGCTCCATCAATGGATAGCTCCTAGGAGAGGCTTGGCAAATACTTACTTACCTATGGGTTACCATCTACTTGAACCAGCTGTGTCCGAAGCATTACCACTTTAGTATTTTCAAATTGCAGCCAAAAAACCTCCTGAATGGCAACATGATGACTGTTTTTAACTAGTGACCCTACTCCATTGAGCAAACGCAATCACTCAAACTACAAGTTATACAAATTCACGAATAAATACCAAACTTAATAAGCAAAGGTGGATGCTGGCTAGCAGTGGAATTCGGGACTTCAGTTTCATCTTATTTGGAACTCGTTAACCGGATGTACCTGAATCACAGATTTGATGAACATTCCGGGACTCAAACCCAGAACGTTCGCTTCAAACTTATCTACTGAAACAGGAGTAAAGTTTAAATCCCTTTGGTATTGTTTGTTTGAGTCTTCCTACTGATGTTTAAGACTGAAATTGATCAGTCTCTTATTCGCATGTGTGCATACTGTGCGTATTGCCTTGATGTTGCCTGAAGTCACAAGCATTATAAGCAAAGATAGATGGCGGCTAGCAGTGGAATCTAGGTACAGTAGAATAATTAGATTCCCACTCATTGAATAATACCAAATACCTGGGACCTTACCGAAACAATAGGCAGCGAGCTCAAATAAATCAGTCGATTTATTCAAGGCTGTTACAAAGATATTGCATTTGAAAACTTTGTCAAGGATAACACAAAGCGCTAGTTACGAAGATGGCTTTGACTACTGTCCTCAGGGATATCTTGCCATTGTTGGACATTTCAGCTTATTGCAACTACAAATCGGCGTTGGAAAAAACAATTACTTGTGTGTCGCAGTATTGCAAAAGTGGGGTTTGTTCTGGTAAGTGGTTTATTCTGCTAATACAAAAAACTAGAACATTTAAGAATATTTTTCTTAAATCAGCGTATCAACCAATTATTTGTACTTGTTGTAAAAGACTGCGGAGTTACAAACGATTTATCCTACCCAAAGATACCCGTACTCCTAACTCCTCCACCATCACCTGGCATTAGCTCGTTGTTATGTTCTCAATGTGGACAGTTTTTAGCACTCATATCTGAAACATGTGTGTTTGTTGTGGATGCACAGTTCGGCTTAAAAGAATTCTGTCAGGTAATTTCTTTTTTCAAATCGAATACATTTTTTCTGTATGTAGAATCATTTGTACTTGGTCCTCATTAGTTACATTGTTTTCAAGTAAGGGGAAACAACGACGGTGGGTTTGAAATGAAGCATTATATTTGCCATGCGAAAAGTAGTAAAAAAGAAAGCTTGCTTGACTCTCTCTTTTGAAGCTTGTTTTCCACTTATGTTCTTCTGAACTCATCGTCTCCTTTTTCTGTTCAGATCGATTTTGCTATAGCTATTAAACATATATAACCGACCACATTTGGTAAAAATCAAGAAATCGAAATGTGAGACATATTAGGCTGATCACAGCCTAATTTAGCATCAGATTTGAAAACCGAGGAATCCCTTCAAGAGCAGACTATGATATCTAGCTGCTATATTCAGTCTAAGGTGAAGGAACTAAAACTTTCAATCAAGTAGTTTAAAATTAAATTACCGACCTACTTAACTCGACTTTCCTCGTAAATAGTTGATTAGCTTAGTGGTAAGTGTTTGTCCAAATGATAACCTACATAACAAGTAGTTGTTTTCGATTACTGTTCAACACTTGTGAAGCCACTGATTTGTTCGGTCAAATACTTGATGAGATGCTGTAATGACCTGGATTGTCAGTTGCTTCAATTGTTTTGTATCATTGAATCTGTCCTAAACTGTGTTCGCTGTAAGCATTTGAATGATTTCAAGTTTAAAGATGAAGTGGTCATGTTCTTTTAAATTTATTAACATTTATTAACAGCAATGTTTGAGGGTAAGTGTTCCATTCAGGTCCTGAGCACATACTTTTTGTTGCAAATTACATTGATCGACTTGGAATGAATCGAAACCTCGGTTATCCCTATCATAACTAAGGTTAAAAATCTGAGTAATTAAATTTTCATACTAGAACACTGACGAGGCTTGGTGTTGCCACTACAAATCTCCACAAAAAGTTAATTGTATAGTGAATCTTTCTCTTCAAAATAGGATAAGTTCATGTCAGTCTCAAAATGCAGTTAGTCGGTTGTTTAAAGAGCTGTAACTCCTATCATTCTGGTACTCATTACAACTACTGCAGATAGAGATATAAAATCTGTGTTTCTGCGTGCTAAGGTGTATGGACCATTAGGAATCATATAAGTAGCAGATTTTTTACTCGGGTTGATGTATACCACATCACCCTGTTAGCTTGGGATTGTTGGTTCTAAACCAATGGTATACAAATCTATACATAATAGTTTCCGGTCAGTAGTACTTCTCATCGAAAACAGCTTTCTTTTATCAATCAACATAGTTTATTTATCCTCGATCACAAAATCATAGATGGGAATTCATCGTTCACCGTCAGGTCACTAGCTGTAATGTGACTTAAAAGTTACTCTGCCTATTACTTAGTAACTTGTGCTCCGAGCATGCAAAACAATTTTTAGACATGGGTTAGTATTTTTCACGGACAAATATCGTCTGCAAAACAACTAAAAATCAATAGATAACACTAGATTCTTAGGATCTTCTTTCACTCACTTGATTTTTCTAATGGAAAGCGCTTTCAAGATCTGACAAGTCGGTGTCGTTTGTGTGCTCAAATTTTCTAGAATTTTCAAGTAGAATATTTGTCTCTATAATGTCAAATAAAACTTTTACCACGTAAATGATATATATGACACTTGAAATAAAGGTATTCCGTCCTCACTATTTTAATACTTTCCTAGGACCAAATTGTTCGTCCAATATACTGTGCTATTGATCTTAGAGACCTTTCCTCAAAATCAAAATTAAATGACGTTATAGTAAAGGTGCGGTGGCATCCAAAATCTAACAGAACATTGGTTATTGTGACCGAAAATTCCTTTATATATTACATTCATTGTGTAAAGTCCTCGGAAAATCAAAGCATTCGATTCAATTTATGGCTTGAAGCAGATCTTTCAGTATTTACTCATAGCGCTCTTGATGCTACCTACCAGGATATGAGTGACTCGGATGAAGGTTCTTACAATGAAAACGATGATAACAGTTCATCACTGTCCAATACGAAAATGAATCTCAGTTTTGCTTTAGGCAGCAAGTGTGTTGACTTTGATTTTGGTTCCCCACTATTTATATCAAAACGCGGTTTATCGGAAGCTCAGTTACAAGATTGCTGTTTGTTCCTTCTTTATGAAACAGGTAAGAAGGTTTACTGTTTTGTCGATTCATATCACGTTTTCACCACTCATGTTCGCCGTATTCCGGCCTTTCAGTTGTTGAAAATAGGGTTCGATAGTTCTAAAGAAGTACCATTTTTTGAGTATATATTCGTGACTTGTCCGCTTTTGTTTCAAAAGGCAGTCGGTGTTACTGATTTGTGAAAAACTTGATTCAAAGCGTTCACAAACGTATCGGTTTACCAAACATAGGGTGTAAAATTTGATGATACCTTTAATAGCCATTATGTTTTCAAATCCACCAACCATAATGTTTCGGGACAAAACGGAGTGTACTGTCCTAACTAAACTTTACTTCAATCATTTACGAGCCTTGATCAGATGTTCAGTACCTTTCAACCTATTTCATTGTATAGGAAAATGGAAAAGCAGTTACGAATAGAGTAACACCAAATTATCATGCCAATCAATTAATTATTGTCAAAGAACCTAGCACAAATATGTATTGACCCGGGATCGCGTTATGCGCTTATATTTATTTATTTGAACACATAAATATTGGTACAAAGGGGCACAGAATACATATGCGTCACACAAGTCACTTTGATTTGTGTGTGGGCTATGATACTACCCGAGTGCCGAAACGGAAGCAGGTGGTTTTCTTAGGGGGCCACACCCGAGGCGTTCGACCTACAGGTCTGATCCACAAAACAATGGAGCAACGTCAGGAGATGAAGTCCCATTGTAGCCAGTGACTAATGATTGGTTTATACGCCATTAGGTCCTTCAGGATCCTGGAGCCCATGTGCGCCATTAGTTGGGAATTAGGGTTTCCCAACTCCTTTTTGTGGACTCTCCGTGTTGACCAATCCGATTAAAGCCCTCTCAATTTCGTAAACAACACCCCCCGCCACGAAAAGGCAGTGAGTAGGACTTCCTTATTAGTGGCTGTATACATGTGACCATGTGAGGGCATGTTGAGATGGAGAGCCGATTCTCTCCACCGTCGGCCGTACCAGGGCATTTCGAGGTCACGCACTTAAGACATTGTCAGAGAAACCCTGTCTTATCTAAAGATCTCAGGTCACTGACTGGTTGAAAGTTTATTGCTATCACCGACTACGAATTCTGAAATGGTCTTTCTGAAACCTCGTATACCATTCAAACTGGCTTCCTTTAACGTTCGCACACTAATGAAGATCGGACAAAAGATAAGGTTGGCTATGTCTTTAAAAAGTCTTAATATCGTTTTATGTTGTCCGTCTGAGACCCGTTTTCAAGGCTGTAGTGAAGTACTACAAATTCGCTCTCCATCTCTCTCTTCAAAAGGCTTGTTTTACGTGCGTTTATCCAGGGACCCTGTGGTATCTCCGTCTGGTCTTGCTGGCGTTGGTGTCGCACTAAGCGCCAGAGCTGAGGCAGCACTAATCGATTGGATCCCCATTAACAGTCGGTTATGTGCTGTTAGATTAGAAGGCTCCATCAAAGTGAGAAGAAATGGGCGTGAAAAACGATGTCTTTTTGTCATCTCCACCTATGTTCCGACAGATTACAGCCCGGATGCAATCAAGGATGAATTCTCTCACCAGTTAACTGTTCTTCTCCAGAAAGTGCGTTCGACAGATATTGTAGTACTAGCCGGAGACTTGAATGCACAGGTCGGGCGTCTAGGGACAGAAGAGAGTCGTTTAGATGGCCGATGTAGACTTGCTGGTCTCAGATCAGATAACTGTGACAGTTTACTGCAAATGTGCTCAGACCGCAACCAGTTTCTAGCTAGCACTGCCGACACAGTCATCGCCGATGTGCCACCTGGCGTCCTCCCTCTACATCTCGATCCTGGACTCAGATTGACCATAACGCAATCAGCTGTCGCTCGCGTGGTCTTGTGCAAGACTGCCACTCTTTTTGGAGCACCTATCTGGACTGTGATGATGCCCTGATCTGCATCAATCTCGCCTTACTTTTTAGTGGCCAACGAATTGATCGTCATCAACGGATTGATGTCAGCGAATTAGTTGCAACTTCTGTTGCAAGTAAGTATCAAGCGGAGCTAGCTTCTAGGCTAGCTACCATCCCACCGAAAAGTATAGATGAGCATCGGTTGCAATTGCGTGCGGCTTCGCGAAACGTCCCGCTCATAAGCACTGGGTTTTCCAGGTTCCTTACAACCCATTGAAACTTGTTGATCTACTCTAAGTGACCGTGAGTTTGACCACAAACGACGACAGTTATGTAATGAAGTCGGGCGAAGCTTGCGTAAGAACTGAGAAGCCTGATGGTCGGAGCGTTCCAATGAATTGGAAGAAACAGCTGCATCTGGTAACTGCCGAAAACTCCTTCAACTCATCCGAGACACTGGCAGCCAGAAGTTTGATGTGTGCGAAACAATCTGTAAAGATGATGGTATGCCAATCACTAACATCTATTTACGTCTTGGACTATGGGTAGAGTTTTTCGAGGAACAATTCAACTGGTCTGCTGCCCCGGCAACATCGATCAGACTGTCCTACGCTCCATGACTTGTGACAAGTGATCCGCCAAACTAGGCGGAAGTGTGCAAGGAACCTCAACCCTTGAAACGCTACAAATCATCGGGCCCAGATGACTTACCTCCAGCTCTTTTTAAAAATGGTGGTGACTTTCTGGTTAAGGAACTAACAACGTTGTTTACAAAGGTCTGGGGGCTACAGAGTGTTCCAACGTCATGGAATGAATCGATAGTTGTCCCTATCTTTAGAAAAGGTTTACGTCGTTTCTGCAACAACTGTTGGACGGTAGATCTACTTCCGATTGCGTCCAAACTATTGGCTTCTGTCATACTTTGTAGATTGTTCAAAGTCCAAGAAAGATTGACTCGCGAGGAGCAGGCTTGGTTTTGTTCTGGTCGGGGATGTATTGGTCATATCTTCACCTCCTGCCAAATGTTAGAACACCGTCATACTTATCACGGGCCAACAGTCGTAGTGTTTCTTTACATCAGAGCTGACTTCAATTCTTTGGATAGGACTGATCTCTGAGATTGTCCATTGAAGAAGGGAGTGCCTGAGAAGTTTATTAACATCTTAAAAGCCCTATATACAAACTCCTCAGGCAGAGTGAGGGCATACAACCACCTTTCTCCCTTGTTCCATTCGAGCTGTGGAGTTAGACAGGGTTGCCCAATCTCACCATTCTTCTTCAAATTTGCCACCGATGACATTCTGGAAACAGCTCTGACGGATGTAAGTAATGGCGGTGTGGGTCTGTTTCCTGGAGAAAGACTTCTCGACCTCGAGTATGCGGATGATATTGTCTTACTGTGCAATAATGCCCAAGCTATGCAATCCGCACTTAATCAGTTGGCAATTAGTGTTCATAAGTATGGCACGTGCTTTGCACCTTCGAAGTGCAAAGAACTTTCACAAGACTGGCAGGACGTTGGACCTGCATTTACTCTTGGTAGTGAGCAGTTAGGAGTATTCGAGAAATTCGTGTATCTAGGTAGCTGTGCAGGTGCTGTTGGTGGCGTGAGTGATGAGATCAATTCATGTATAGTGAAAGCCAGAGCGGTTTATGCCAATCTGGGCTATCTTTGGCGCCTTCGTGATGTTAGTCTGTCTGTAAAAGATCAGATCTAAAACGCGTCGATGAGAGCAGTTTTGCTGTGTTTGATCATCGTTGTCCGAAGGATTGTTGACATCCAGTGGCAACATTATATTAGTAATGCAGCGATTCGACATCGTGTGTTCAGGCACAGTGATGATAATTCAGTTAGTGTCACTGTCTTGAAACAACGACGTGGGTGGCTTGGGTATGTCCTACGAATGTCGTCCCAGAGAATTCCAAATCGTGCATTATTTGCCGACGATGGGACTGGTTTGAAAAAGCGGAGAGGTGGTCAGTGTATGATATGGTGTCGTGTTATGGAAAAAAGCTGTACAAGACTGACTTCTGTTGGTTCTTCACGACTCCCTGGTTTGGGTCCAAGAGATGGTGCACTACAGTGTCTTGAGACGTTATTAGATATGATTCAGAATAGAAGCCAGTGGCTATCCTGCTGTAACTTTTTTTTACCTTCTTCATAACAAATGGACGTAACTTCTTTAACTGAAAGATTTCTTTGTGGTTGTATTTTCGCCAACTGAACTGTCTCTCTCATTATTACTATTTCGCTCTCATATACTGATCTCTGTTCGTTGTTGTTCTTGTTTTCCTTATATGCACTTTATATTCTCTATCTCTTCACAGTCAGATTGTGTGGTGCATATGTATTTGGTGCCCTGTGTACAAATATTTGTGTTCAAATAAATAAACGATTGTAGATGTTATGCAGACATAAACGATGAAGTGTTTTTTGCACATGTATATTTGATTTCCCTATTTTTTTCGAGTCCCTTCTTGAGTTTTTATATTCACTTCTCTTTTATTATAAAATATGTTTATTCTAATTCATCTTGTATTAGTTACTCGAATCCTCCCATTGATGTTTAGGACTGCAGTTGATCAGTCTCTTATTGGCATGTGTGCATCTTGTACATATTGCCTCGATATTGCTTCAGGTCACAAGTATTATTTTGTTCAGTCAAAGCTGCACATTTTTACAATATTATCTTGTCGTTCTAACGAAAACGTTTTGACAGTTCTCAATCTAAGTACAAGGCCTCGAAAACTGCTCTTATAATGTTTAGTATAACATATACAAATTAAAAGTTAGGCCGAATAAACATATTACCCTTGGTAAATCTGTATATTCTTCTTAAAACAGGTCTATGTAAACACTGAATTTTCATTGATTTGTATAGGTGATGTTATTCAAGTATGTGGATGCTTGTCAGTTCGTAAAATGAATCAGCTAAAATGTAATGTTTTGCACATTTTCCCACCATCAATTGATAATTATGGAGATGAATTCTGTTCTATTCATTGTATTCGTCCTATTGACAGTTCAGAAATGTTTTCATTTGAAAAACCTCCTGATATATTAGTGTTAGCTGATAAAATTGGTCGTTTGCATAATGGTATTGTTCTACGAGCCAATATACCTGGACAGAATAAAAACAGTAAGTTTATTTTTAAAGTTTTAGTTATGTTGATGAGCTGGTTGTGAAATTGTTGACCGTCTTAATATACTTTCACTTTGGATTTATATACGGTTAAACGTTTTACTATCACTTTTGAATTCAATACCTACTTCTTATTCATTAGACAGTAAAGTGGACATGTTTTTTCGTATGTCTTTAAGAACCGTCTTTACTTGATTAAATTCAACTTGATGATTTGTAAAGAAAAAGTCGATTGGTCCAGTTATAAATAATTCATTTGCGCATATAGTAGTCTATCTGAACCGCATCCATGAACTAAAAGTTTTACTACTGAATTAGTCGGATACTTAAAACTACTTTCCATAGATTTTGTGTTGTTGTTGTAAACTGATGATAGTTTACCCATAGACCATACGTTCAATTTTTTAACATATATCTTTGTATAAATAACTTGAATTATTTACTATTGTAATTGAATACAATAATGTAGAACTTAGCAAACTATTGAATTAGTTCTGAACTCTAATTGTTAATGACTGAGCGAAAGATAAAATCAGAAATTCACGAAAATCCAATTAAATAGAGACAAAAGTTGATAAATGGCCCATAATTCCCGAATAAAATAGGCAGCAAGTTCATTCATTGCGTTAGCGGTAATTTTGAACTATATGGACTACAAGTTTTAAGTCACATTAGTCAAAAGGTCGTTATGGAATGTTTTTTCTATTCCTAGTGACCAAATTTAGGCTTTTTATAGGATTCTTCACGTGGTTTTTTTATTGTTAGGCATTTTTTGGATATATGAGACTCATGATTAGTGTATACTACTTACTCCAGTTGGACTCGAATCAAGTTTGTAGATGTATTTCGATTTGTGGATTACTGTTTAGCCATTGAATCTAAATTAAAGTTACTACATTTTTGTAACTTGGATTCACGAGTTGTAAAGGGAAATCATCACTTGATATGATTGTTAACTGTCTCTTCTTGTATCGAGTTTATCAAGTACAGGTTTGCTTACCCCGGCTTTCAGCTGCATTGTTTGCATGAACGCTAGCGCAATGCTACCTGATTACACAAACCGAATTACGTGAAATTGTGTTCTAACCTGTAATCTATTAGTAGAAAACTGGATGTTTTAGTTACTAAGCCATCTCCCCGTCATTAATCCCTAATAATTTTCTCATAAACCATCGTTTGTTGTTAGAACTACAATAAAACATTTCAATGGAAGTTACTAGTTATTTGTCTTCGAACAAATTTCGGGGCAAAATAGTTTTTCTATCAACCCATTTGGTTTAGGTTTATATCGAATTTTTAAATATTCTTGTTTGCCGAATGGTTTTTGTTTTGTTTAGCATAGAAGTAAAAAATTTCAACGTGTTCTTTTACCTTACTTTGACAGACTTATCATTTCTGATGGGTTGGTGAGTGATGAAATGTTAAAGTGGACAAAGTCCTTTCAGCTTTTGCTAACATGTATCAACTAACGTATAGACGACGTATGTATCTACCTACTATAGGGCGTATACATAATACTTTATAGCCATTAAAAACACCCTTTAAAGATAGACTATATTCACCGGTTGTTATTATTTGATCAGAAATTCCCTTGAAACATTGTAAGCATATGGTGGGACCAGCGAGTGAGTAATGATGAGGCTAGCTACCGGTACTAGATAGAAAAGACAAGTTTTCTGATGAAGTCATAAACCGTCCTCAACTGCAATAGTCAGCACATTTCATATATATGCTTAGCCATTACCTACCTCAGCTTGGAATACTTGCAGCATTGACTAAGTGGAAAAAAGAAGCTATCGTACAACGAAATTAGCTCATAAATTTGTTGACCTCTGGCCTAGAGTACGTCAATAAATCCAGATTTCCTGATCGGTTAAATCATCGTATTCTATGATCACTGACGTTTAATGATAACGACTCAAAATCGGTTACCATTCCATAATTTCATTCATTCGTTGTCTTGCTCTAAATATTTAGTCCTAATATTATTCCATACTTTTTCAATTTATATTCTTTATACTTTTAGTTTTACTACTATTAGAAATTTTATTCTGTATCTTTCTATTCTCATCTTTGTTAATCCTCTCTGTGTGTGTTAATGTGATGCATACAGGTAAATGGATCAATACTTGAATGTTTTTCTGAACACCATCCATATTAGTTTACTTTTATATTGCGGAAATTTTCTAGAAATTTATTTCATAATCATTATTGTCACTTTTATATGTTTTTAACTTATCAAAACTTATTAACACAAAAAGACATTCTTTTTCTTATTCATTCAGAAAATCAAAGTACCACCCCTTCAGTTTTACTCTGTCTCATTGATATTGTGGATCTCGATCTAATGTCTAGTAATACAACAACTAGTCAACAGTGTCATCCAAACGGTAGTATACTTCATTCTTCAAATTATTCTGAATACAATCATTTTGAATCTCCATCGTTGTCATTAGAACCAGCTAACTTAAATTTTTTGGACAATATTGATTATAATAGTTATTCAATAGATGGTTCAGATTTTGTTAAAAATAAGATTTTCGGCTTAAAATATTCACATCAAGGATATTATGTAATCCATCACATGGGTATTCATCTTGTTAATTTATCATGGATTGAAAATCTTTCTCTATGGTGTAGCGAATTTAACAGTCAACTGTTAAGTGATTCTATCAAATCTCCTATTGAAGGTAATTATCACATATTGTTAAATAATTATTAAATACAATGATTTTTTATGATAAATATCAATTAATTCAGTCTACGATATTTAACGCTAGCCACCATACCAATGTGTATTTCTAGCTGATTTAAAACTCGATTAGACTAATTAGCTGGGGACATAGAGTTAGTCAATGAAGTGATCAACCTTTGGTCTGCTTTTTTTCAACTTCAACATTCATCTGAATATAACATTATGTTTACTTTCACTCTGTAATGTTGTTATAACCAGATCTGTTTTCATTTGAACTAATTTATTCATATGTTATACTTCAAAATGAACAAATACTTACCGATGAAATCACAGATCAAGTATGTTGTTTTACGAATGGAATGAATTTGAAAAATATATCAGTTAGTAAATTTTAAATTAGCTACATTACATTTAATCATAATACTGAGAATTTACTTACCTTAGTTTCAGAAAATCTTATTATAGATTATCATTAAAGAAGACGAAAAAAGTTGTATAATTGTTTCCGGTGTTCGTTAAAATTTTCATGTATTGTCGGTTTGCAGATGAAATCAACATCTAGTGATATGGTATCACGCAAACCCCCAATCTAATTGGCATTCATTATTTACTGATAGATCTTTATTTACTAGAAATTAAATGTATCACTATGTAGAGTTACCAAGTTTTTGTCATGATTATGAATTTACCATAAATTGGACATTCTCTGATGGTTTATTTTCTTCGAAAACTTCTGAATCCTTTTTTTATTTCAGAGATTCGGGATTGGCAGTCATGTGTGAAACACCTTGTCTGTGGCCAAATTACTATCTCTACTCCTGACGGGATGAATGACGATATGGAGGGAAAGTTTAGACTAGCTGGCTTTATTGAACTACCAAGTAATTTCCTGTCAAAAAATCAACCGAAATCCAAAACTACAACTACATTAGCTGATTGTCGATCAACTAAAGGTGTCACACTTTTGTTTATTCGTGCACCTATCCAACAAATTGATTCGACTGCCAGTATGACTGATTATTCATGTCTGGTGCATTTCATCAATCTAACACGGAAACCTGAAATTTATGCTATGAAACAACAACGTTACACTGGGTTAGATTCGAGGTTATCAAATTTGTTTATCTTCATACTCATATGATAACTGCATTGAATATAAAAATAACTATTATAAGATTTTGTAAAATTTCATAGCTGGTCAAACTTGTCTTTGCAATATAATTTATTTATTTCTGTAGTTTACAGCAAATGTAGTAATAGGCAACCGTTTTACAAAGAAATTTACAAGTCTAATGCTCGAACATTTGATATTGACTTCTAGCTCCTTTCCAGTTTTCAATAAATCTCTAACATTTGATCCGGAAACAAAGGGAGGAAAATTATAAGTGGCTTTAAGATTAAAGGTGCAATGGCGTCTTATTGTGCAATCTACTTTTTTTATAGCCAAATGCTCTAACCATAAGGTCACCGTCCCATTCTCTCAGGCTCTGTTGTTTATGTAACATTACTGTGATGTGTATTTTTTGAAACTTATTTTCATCGTTAAGTGACATAAGCTTAGTACATTATTGAAAACCAGGTAGGACTGATGATTCGTTTCATTTTTGTTTGGGACTTCTCGGCGCTGTTTGTCGACAGTCACCTCCCCTTAATCAAGTGCATACTTTGAGAGTTATTTTTATTCATTTTTTTGCACTTCTTTCATTCTCGTAATATGTGTGGTGTACAATGTAAGTTGATGAATTCTTTTGTCTTTTTATATCTCAGAACTACTGATCAATATGATTCCTGTAACTCAACTCTCCGTTCACATTTCACATCTCAAATAAAACAAGTACTATCGGGAGAAAATTCAAATTTTCCAGTGATAACAGGATTAAATTTACAACCTAATCTTACCCAGCAACAGTTGGTTCAATTTTTTATTAAGGTAATGTGTGAATCTTATAATTCAGTTGCTGAATATTAGTTGATACTTATTGTAGTTGCACCGATATTGAAATCACAACTTACTCGTGAAATGTTTCTGAATTCATTTTGTCTGGTTATTAGTTTTATGTATAATGATTAAATCAGAACATTATAGTCTAGATCGGTGCTTACCGCTTTTGTTCGTAGCCCACTCTACTTACTTTGGTTTAAGAAACTGGATAGTATCATTAACCTTCACACCTATGCACACATATCTAATAAACAACTTGGTTATTATTCTGAGCTTATTGTTTGGTTACATGCCTTTATTATTTCTAACTTCTGACTAGACAAAATGATTATCATAGCGCTTGATGCAATCGTAAAAATGTTGTCATACTCCGAAATTTTGAATGACTGGAAATAAATAACCTTATGTAATTTGGTTTGTTTTAGGTCTCTGACATATTGCGCAAAGGACCTCTAGATCGTTTAATGAGAGCTCGCTCAATGATTGAGCATCATTCTAGACAATTACAAGATATAATTTCAGCTCAACATTCCGAAGCAATGAAGCTAACATCTGAACGTCAAACTTTGCAATCTAAAGCAGAGGAGTTAGCAAAACGTCACTCTGTAATCACTGAGCGTCAAAGTATGTTAGACAAACGTATGGCTAACTTAGCAACTCGTTTGGCCGGTAAGTAGATAGTTCTTTAACTTCCTGTTAAATTCTTATAAATTTTAAAACAAAATGTAATAATGTGTTTCTAAAGCTTACATCTATTTAACGCTATAAAAACTGAATGGAACAATTACCAAGTATCCTGATCAAGTCAGTCAGTTGTGAGCAACGTCGGATCTTCTGCAGGTATTCATCAGCTAAAGTTGTAACATTTCACCAACACAGCAACATTGGTTCAACAAGTCAAATAACGAGATTTGAAATAACACAAAAAAATACTAGATATCGAGGAACGTGTTCGTAATTAAGAAATGAGGTGATGTTACATAATAGTGGGATACTATTTTTAGGATTCATGACCTAGTATGTGGACTACTGCGACCGATTTCGAACCTCGTCTCGTAAGGTCCCTAATCATTAACTAGGTACTTGGGGCCTACCAATACAGTTCACATTAGGAGTCAGTGACTTTATGGCTTAATTCCACTATGTCTTCAGTTTGTTCCTTCGTGAACCAGCATTGCTAATTGAAGTATTACCTTGTACGGTCTTATGTGAAATTGTAAGATGACTGAAACGCAGTAAGATCTTTGAGTTACAGGTTTTTCTAGCCAGTAAAATTTTTCAAAACCTTATATGTTATGACACTCTCTTAGGAAAATGTCTAACTGTACAATAAATGAGTTAAATGGAAGTATGGGCATGAAATTACAGATATTTTTTGTTAATATTCGTTGGGATTCACGTGATTTGTTATGGAACAGTTTATAAAGTTGTTTTTGCGAGACTCAAATTGAAATTTAGCCTTGTAAGTGATTACATCCAATCAGTTATAGTGCTTTACAGTTCAGACATAAATGAATCCTATGTCTTTCTGATGTTCCTTTGTGCATATAGGTCGTAGTATTCTTCTAATCAATTATATTTAAGTAATCGGGCTAACTGACCTATGCAGTCTGTTGTTTTTTAGTTGGTTCACAAAATGACCCGTGAAGTCACTCGTCTCATTTGATTAAAGTTTAAGGTAGAGTTAAGCACAAGTGCTTTAGTATTTGATATCTGCTTATGTAAAAACCTCACATCTGTCACGGTTGTTTGGCTTGTCTGTAAAATCTCTCCTAACTCTGGAAAAGTGACTTACGACCTGATTTTCTGCCAAAACGGATGGAAGTTAATATGAGTCGAAATGATAGTTCATTTAGATCAGTTTGTCCCATCTATTGCAACCCTTAATATATAATGGTGAAATAACTTCAAAACTAAAGCTCTTCAATTTCAGCAAACATTACTATTCAGTTAAATTAAATTTCAGTTATTTCTAAAGGGTATTATCCTGTAGGTGTTCATTATTGATTTCCACTGTTATTATTATAATCTACTTCTGTGTTTAGCTTTAGGCGAAGGTCCTACTAAAGCTGAAATCGCAATGCGTAATGAAGTTATCGTAATTCGTGATCGCCTACACAAAGGCCTTAGGCAATGGTTATCAAATCTCAAGAACCGTCGTGACAAATTGGAAAGACAAATACTGTTGCGCAAAAAAACAGAAAAATCACCTATTCGTAACTCTCTTCCTGGCAGCATTCTTAGAACCACGGAAAATATAGAAGGAAATCAGTGGCAAACAGTATCAGAAGAACTTCGCCGGGAAACTTTGGAAATCAAAATGTTAATTAACGCAGTTAAAACGCTTAACACAAAGACTATAAATCCCACCTAGTACCTTATTTTATTTTCCCGTGCATAATTAATTCCAGAAAGAAATAATACTGAACCTGTTCATTTGGATTATTTTGTATATCTTTAAGTTAATTTTATAAGTAAATTATCTTCTCGATCATGTGACACAACTACTTTTACTTTTGAGTACTAAACTTTGTCGAGTAAGTAAGATTGTTCAGTGTGCTGCACTCACATAATATGTGTGTATCAACTTTAACACACTATAAGATTTTGGTTTGCTGGGCTGTAAATTCCGATGTGTAATGATCTTTTAGGAAAAAAACAATGTTCGTACCTGAATACTTTTACTCCAAACACGGCGACATGCCAAACTGTTCTGGCAGATCCACAACACCTCACTATTTGATTATAGGTCAAGTGCTTACTAATCGAAGGTTCTGATCAACTTCAAATGCTGGAATTAGTCTGTCTACCTATAAGCACGCATAACCTGTGATTGTATTCAATGCAGTACTATTATTCGTCAGAAAACTCATAGCTGTTGGACTATCCTATATTTCCAAGTTTCAGACTTGGAAACCATAAGTGGGAAATTGGATCCGACTTCCTGTAGTTCAGTGTAACTTGTTAATCTTCAAACTCTAGAAAATTTGACATGGGTTTGATGTGTTTATCAACAGTTGAAGCTATCAGTTTGTTCCTAGTGTTCTTTGCTTACTCAATTATTAGAGTTGGTAAGAGTGTATTGTTGATATTACTACGTTTGTATCCTCATGTATCAGTAGTGTGGTGTATGCTGCTTATGCTGAAAGATATAGTTAGTATGTAACAACAATCGGAAATGGAATGCCCTGGCAGTAGAAGATTGAAATAAAGATAACGGAGGAAATTGGGGTGCAATCGAAGTAACAACATAATTAGAGGAATAGTGGAGTATGTAAAGGACAACGCAAAGAAGCTGTGCAAATGGTGTATTTAATGTATGATTTTCATATTTTACTGAATCACTGTGATTTTGCATTAAACGATAAACTGGTTTTCCCTACCTGAGTTTTGGTTTGCTACAGTAGTATCTTGAGTAATAACAAGAGCGCTAATGGAGAACGAAACTTAAAACCCTAGAGTGATTCACAATTCAACTGACCAACCATTTAAATCGTTATAGAATCAGTTTAACGCGAAGTCACTCTGGATTGTTCGATAGTAGTGTTATCAGGTTTTCTTAACCTCGCTTTTAATGTCAAAAATAATTCACCGCGCAAAAACTCAGCTGCAAGAGGCTATGAATGTGAACGAATAATCATCACCTTCTTCCTTTTATTCTCTAAGTTATTTGGTTAGAAGGAACCTTTGTACACGTAATGTTCGGTTCACGTTTTTGAGTCACATTCATGAACTTTTTTTCGTGATTAGTTCATTTTAACTCAGAGGAGTAAAATGACAGAAATAGATCGCAACCCAGGGAGCATAGGTCCCCTTCCTGTGTTCAACTACTAAAATCTACTGTATGTTGATGTGAATTCTAGACTAAATGTATGATGGAATCAAAAGCCACAAGAATTTCCGGCGAGACTATAATTTATGAACAAACCAATCAGATATAATATAACGTGTTGAATTTTGGGCGCTAAATTCATTCAACCATTTGACTTAATAGCGTCTTGGCATTTTAGCTGATGTCAGTTCGTGATGAAAACCTTAAATTTAGTTCCTAACCGTCAACTGTAAATCACAATTCTAATTCCTCATACTGCTTTATAACCATCATTTAGTCCTAGTTAGTAGGTGGACATTCTCATGGTCACTTTAGCGTCGCTCAAAGGTCGTCCATAAATTATAGTCTTGCCGAATTTCCTTTAACTTTCATGTCCTGTTAGTGGTGAATATGCGGAGTCCTACAAGGATCGATCTTACAACTATTTCCCTTACTTCTTGTAAGCGACCTTCCTGGTAATTTAGATTTCCAGACTCTTACTCTTACGTTATCTTCGTAGGTATTGAAGAAGACTGCTCGACATTTAACTCGTCAATTACTTCCTCTTTTAGTCTCTAATTTGTTTCTGCTCGTTTTCAGAAGAAAAATATTAAGAATCTGTTCAGTCGTTGGCAAGAATAGTCAGATTTTATTAAAAGGGATAGGATCTGTTCTGGAACGGTAACCGCTCGCATACTTTTTACCAATCCGATTTTCCGCATGACCTTTGCCCTCTGATTGATTGTCATGTTTTTTTTGGTTCGCTAAATTGCTATATGCTCGAAAATCATATTCTGCTACCATAGTAACAACTTTTGTACCAATTTCGTCTGAGTTGCTTGTTCTACCACAAATATTAAGCTACTTGCAATCCCGTCTCCTTCCTGACTTAGCCGTCGAGGTTAGATGTGCTGAGTATAATTGGTTGTTGTCAATTCCGAAGAGAACCGATCGTATTAGGAAAGTTCAATCGTTTTTATTCCCAAGTTCATAACATTGTAGGTCATACTGAACAGCATTAACACAGGCAAGCCAAAACAATACAATTTTTTCAGTTATCACTTTTTTGACAGGTTTTGTGACAACTACACGAAAGACTTATTTTTATGGGGGAGTTCTATTGAAAGAGAATCGTCATTAGATAGGTTGTCTTAGTTTCAATTTTCCTACAAATAAATTTCTTGGATAAGCCCTCATACAGAGTCATAGCAGAGCTATTTTCAAAACAGGTTTCTATGTATATAACCAGTAGTTTCGATCTGTTTCCAAAATGTAAATTCATGCAACTGGTATAAACTAGCAATATAGTGAAGTTGTAAGGAGAACAACTGACACGCCCATACCGAAAACTAGAAGGGGTACTACAAAATGAGTCAGTAACAACGATTAGTCACGATTATGTAACTGGTAAAGATTTCGCTTATCCCAGCTGATCGCTTTGGTTGCTGTCTTCAGCCAAACTGTTCTGACTCGTCCATCAGAACCATAATTGACCTGTCTAACTAATGCTTTTGGCCAAAGATTACTGGGTAATCCAACATTGTTTACCAACAATAAATCTCCTGTCTGTATATTTCTCATGTCCAACCGCCAGGATCTCGCCTGAAGTGTTGGTAGGTACTCCATTCATCTTTTTCGGGATAGATTGACTAGTTATTGAGATTTCTTCCCATGTCCTGTTATATGGGCATGTTTTGCCCATCTGAGCTTCGTAGAACGATACGCCTCTATGAACTAACAATGCCTGATCCGCTGTGAGTAAATTCAAACTATCACAGTCCTTAAACAGCTTTACGAGTGACTGATTGTTCAATATTACTTCAGTCTCCAATAAAAACAACTCTAATGTGTCATCCGTCACTACCCTCTGAAACAATATTGATCGTACAATTCTTATTGACTTTATGACGCGTTCGCATACACCAGCTCTCGGAGCTTTGAAGTGCCATTCACAACCTCTTTTCAGAAGGGCATTTAATATCTTGTTCTGGTCCCAACTCTACACAATCTATCTAAAACCCTCGTCAGCTCCTCTGAAGTTTGAACAGTTGACGCTAAACACATGTTTTAAGTGGCCGCTCTTAGCGTCGAACCTAGAGAGAGCGCATTAAACCGAGTCAGTATCCAAGGTGTGAGCTATTTGGATGTCAACTCCTCCGATAGACAGGCAAGTAAACAAACAGCCGTAGCGTTTTTCAACGACCGAAATAGTATTTACCAACAGAAGTGGATAGTAGTATTTAAATTCCTATGGGACATTCATGTAGTGGAGCCACAATATGTATGCACAGCGTGGTGTCGAGTCTTCAATAGGAAACACCGCCTCATGACTCTTCGCATAGTAGCCTGGGCTTCAATAATCAAGATTTCTTCGCGAAGACTGTTTAAGTTGTGACTAATACCAGATTGCGCGTTCTGAATATGAATATGTATGTATTCTGAATATGTATTACGACCAAGTCAGTAACAAAATGATTACTAGCAAGCACAAGCGGATGTTTGCTTTCGAAGAGCAAGCACGATAACTGAAGTCGTCCACCTACTCGGATGAAGTCATCTATTACCAATGGATTAAGATACTTCATTGGGTTCTTACATGCAACGCTATTTCTCATTACCTTACCAGCAGAGATTAGATGGAGTGTCATTTCTTTGTTCATAAGGATACGCGGTCGTTGTTCCACGTGTTTCCCAATCTTAGCACATAGTACACCAGTTGTTAATTCTACTCTGGGAATAGTTGTAGGTTTTAGTGGGGCAACCCTGGTCAATGAACTTGATGGGATACATCTTCTAAACGAGCATACACTACAGCACATGCAAATTCTGATGCATCGGTAAAGCAATGAATCTGAGTAGCTAGTGGTTTGTAGGATTCTGGTACGAGATATCTGGGAAGTAACATTTCACTGAGGCGCTTCATACCTCTGAGCCAATAGTCCCATATAATAGAGCACTCCCTAGGAAGCTCTGCGTTCCATGCCAGATTTTGCTGACAAGTATCTTGCGACATTAACTTAGGTGGTAAAACAGCTGTAGTTATAAATCCAACTGGGTCGAATATAAAAGCTACATATGACAAAATGGTTCTCCTCGTAGGAGTCGCATCGGACTCGCGCACCCTGAAGATTTTATTCGTTCGAACATTCGACTCAATTCCTAGGGTCCCTTCATTTCTATCCACAGATAAACAAATGTCTACGTTCCTTTCTATGCGGTCCTCCTATGGAATAAACTTCATTAATTCAACATTCTTACTGGCCCACTTTGTTAGATTAAAACCCCCTAAACGTAACATTTTCTTTCAGCTAAGAATATACTAATTTAGATTCTTATAACGTATCAACACTGGTTAATAAATCGTCAAAGTAGAACTGTTCCATTGCTGTCTGTATAATGCATTCAGGAAACCTAACCTCATTATCTAGGATAGTTCTTTTCAGAGCAAACATTGCGCAACTTGGTGGGGGGACAACACGAAACAAATGTACTTTCATCCCATAGGTTTCTAGTTCATTTCTTATGTCACCCTGCGGACACCATAGAAATCTAAGAGCGTCGCAATCATGTGGCGAGAAAATTACTTGAAGAAACATGGCTTCAATATCTGCCAAGAGACCTATTGGTCAATGCCGAAATTCGGTGAATACATCTATCAGATTGTTAAATAAATCTGAACGAGATTACGAGTTTTTATTCAGGGACGTCCCGGCGTATTGTGCTACACCGTCGAATACGATTCCAAGCTCATTAGATTTTTTTTGATGGAATACAGGTTGGTGCAGTAAATATCAAACTGGACACCTAACGGAGTTTTCTGTAGCCTTTTCTGCGTAGCCATGTTCAACATACTGTGCCATCAAATTAATATATTCCTTATGCAATCTCTGGTCACAAATGATCTGGTTTCTGAAGCAATTTTTTCCACTCATCACTGGTTTTCTACTATTAGGTAGGCTTTGTTTGGGATCCCAGGGCTAAGCTATTTGGTAATCCCCATCCACTGAATGTATAGATTTGAATTTAGCACTCAAGGCTTTTCGATCTTTAGCCGACATGTGCGCACAGTAGTTCGGGTTTTCTTCAGACGCCATTTTATATAACTGGTCTACTCTAGCTTCTAATTCATCCTAAGCGATAGATAATTTATAATACCCATATTTCTCGTTGTCTCACTGTTAGTTCCAAACAACGTTCACATTAAAGGATTTCTTACAGCATATGGCTCGTTGGATTTTCAAACCCTTTTCCCCTTTATCCCATGTGCCTCAGGTACATTGCACCCATTCTGTACTTTGACGTCTTCGTTGTCAACACTTGGCAGGATCACGCCACGCATGTAAGACTACGGTGTCTTCCGAGATGTCGTTGGCGCTGTCCCACGTAACTTAGGTGTTCACTCGACCATCCATACCTTTGGAATCTTGAGTGATGAAGAGAAGTCCAATGAGTAAGCTTCTGATCGAATCTCTTTACAATGAAATGTGGACTGGCTATCCAGCGTTTTCATTGGAAGTGTCTCGAGCTGTCCCTCTAAATTCAACCCTCTAGCTAGATGTTACGTAATAAACGAAACGCCTGAGCTGCTAACCAGGAATGCACATATCTGTATAGCTTTTTCTCCATTTTTTACCAATACAGTCACTATTGCAAATGCTAATTAGCTCTGTACAAGCTAAGCTCTTCCCTCAGTACATAGTTGGTTATTGAGGTGGGCATTACTATTACTATCTCTCTGCTTCTCCCGCTTCCAGTGTAACAATGTATGGTGTCACCAGCCACATCCTTCGACGGCACATGATCTCGGTGCTCGATGTAAGTGTACATTAGCTAATTCCAACTGTAACATAAGATCCATTCGGTAGCCGTTTCATTCAAATTCGTCATTACTGGAAGTTTTTGGATGGTGTGGGATCTGCTCAGTCTTATGATTCTTCTCCATAGATATTTAACAGCACTTAACGTACGAATTTCTGATGAGATACCGGTCGAAGCTATGAATGATTTAATTTGTCCTACAGAGGTTCTACCGGAACTGTAAGCGCGATACTGACGACCCAGAGACCATATGAAAGCTAATGTCAGAACAAGGACAATATGACTTAAACTCTGTCTGTGACTAAAAGAAAAAATCAATTCAATTAGTACAATAACTAAGGAAATCGTAATCATCAAGTGAAACGCACAGACATATCGACAAGTATTGCTTGTCTTATCGACATGAATAGAAAAATGATTTGCGATCACAATAATATGATAGAATAATTATGTGCTTCAAAAGACATGTCACATGCAAGAGGGATAGTATAGATACATTTCTCATGAAGTTGAATTGGTGGGCGTTAAAGCAGCGATTTGATTGGATATAACTGACACAAGTCGTTGCGCAAACCCCACTACTCGCTGCCCAACTGCCTTGGTCATGCATTTATTGAGCCTGAAAAAAGTATTGCTCAGCTTGACTAACACATGACGCTATCAACACATGTTCCATGTCTCGCAGTCTGGCACTTCCACACGAATCCCATCGACTTACTAATAGTTTCGCTTCGTTATCTGTAGTCTTACCAATCACTACTGTATTCCCTCACTTTCAGCCTACATCAAAAAACATTTGTCCGCCGCTGCTCTTTCCGAATTGCTTTAAATTTTTTCAGAAACCCATACTCTATATTGTAGCAACTTACGGAACAACACCGATACCTAACCCATAGTTCATAAATTGTAGCAGTCCGATAAACATGTAACATGGATCTTGTATATTATATCAACACAGCTGAGTAACCTAATAAAGTAAAGCCTCTAGAATTTATAGCAACTTGATCTTGCCTGTAAACTGGCATGCCTCATGTAACATATTGTTATCTGCGAATATATTATTATTACCACAAACACTGTCTTCAAGTATAATAAGAAACAGAATCTCAAGTAAGATATAATGTATTTTCTCACGATCACCTAATATCACAAAAGGAAGGATGGTGGAAATACTACCCCCGAGAACACTGATGGAAGGGGTGATGATTTCAATTCACTCATGTTTGTGGATCAGAACAGTTTATTTGTTTTTCCGCGCACTATGATTGAGGATGAGCAGCCAATCGGTGTTGTTAAGGTTGCTCTTTTACACTCGCTTCTGAGCTGGATGGTTTGGTCGTGGAGCTTTCATCGTCCTTCTAAACGACATCATCAGCACAAACCAACATAAAAATCACACTCGCTTCTCCTTAATCTCACGTTTCAAATGCTACGTTGGGTTTGCTATTCTATCAATATCGCTGTTAATGTGCTTACTTTCTATCTACGTGTGTGCGGCTTAATAGATGGTATTCAGTGTCTGAGGACAACAAAAAATAATATAAGATAAACAGTAAAGTTATCAATGTTACTACAAGCTATACTCGTCCTCGTTGCACCTACAACTTAAAAAAGCGGCCCTTCAGCTTTCACATCATAGTATAGTCCGTCCTTGTACATATTACAACGGACTGCTTCTTCTTACTGTGTTCCCTTATTTGCAAACTATTTAACTACTACTCATTTTTATGAGTTTGTTTATATCTTTGTCCGCTCAACTACAAACGGTGAAGTGCTGTTGAGGTTAATATCCAACTACATAGCTGTTCATTGTCCTTTTCAGTATCCGATTTGTAGTGAGCAACCATAAAGCTTCTTCTAACATCTGATACACAGACCATACAAAAGCATTTGTGGGGGTTACAGCTCATATAAAGCGCCTTTAAATCGCTACTTTGAGGATGCCACAGGCATTGTAGTTTGACATTGCTTTACCCAGCAACACTTATAGTTGAATCGTGCCCACCCAGTGAAGTCAAAAGTCAGAAGCGAGGAGGTTCGAAGATATATATTTGATGGATTATCAATATATTGAGGAGTGACTGGTCTAAACTGGCTAGTGATCGCAGGAGACGTTGGGCACGCCGTTCCCACTCGTGATCTGGTGCAGATGTATGACCGAACGCCTTCAGCTAGGTGAGTCCATTAAAACTAATGTGGTCAGCATCGGTTGTCGAACACTTACAGAGCTATTGATTTTGGGGATTTATTTACCGCTACAAATGGTTTGTACTTGTCTCTTCAGAAATATATTTTTCTCATTACATATCGGTGTAAAGTAATCGGGATTTGTGAGCTGAGTATTTACCGTGAAACATAAACCTTAGTAAAATGCACTGATATTCCTTAGGCAGAGTGCGCACTGTATTATTATGTGCATAAATGCCGACGGTTGACTACAATAATGTACATAAACTGATAGTTACAGTCGCTACAGGTATCCAGTTGTGAATACGACGTTTAGTGAGTCCTCATCACCGGTTTGAATATATCTTTCTGGGCAAATTATCCTCTTCGGGTCTCATTAAATTGAAAATTCGTTTAATCAGGTGCTATGCCCTCGTTTAAATAAAAAAATACTACTCATACACGACTCTCAATCATCGAGCTAATGATAGTGATTCTGGTTGCTAGAAGGGATTCAGTTCAAAATAACGTATTAAGAGACTTCAAAAAGAATAATTTTTTACACAGTAGGTAGTACTCAGTTGTTGTTCATCAACAAGCCATCTCTTTGAATATACAGCCACTTTAACATTTGGCCCAGTAGTTTGCCATGTAAAAGTTTTTAAGTGTTTCGACTGTAAAAACTAGTTTCAGCGAGTAGATTGACGCAAAGGCTTATATTCAACAATTTCAAACTACCGTGACAACGCCTAAGATCAACGGAGACAACAAGTGGTGACTTATAGCGCGTCCAGGTATTCAATACAGGATACGTTTGATATATGGAGTGAGAGGTACTGACTTAAACACAAACTTTTCACAATTCAGTATAGATCAGGAAATATAATGCCAACACCAAATATGGAGATGAGCACTTCATCTATACTTTTTTACACAACAGGAGGTCTTCAGTTTGTTCCTAACCAGATAAGACTGCTACAAACTCAAGCAACAAACTCAGACTGAAGTCTGGAATAATATTTTCTCCCTTTAATAATTTTTTATAGCAGAAAGTAGAAGCATATAAAAGCCAGTTTGTAAAAGACAGACTCTCATCTCGAAAGCAAACTTATTAATCTGCTATTTTCCAACGACCTAGAAAACTCTTAAAGCAAATATGGCTCCAAGAGGATCACCCAATTATATCGTTGCTTGGGTATACACACACACACCGGCGCGAGCTACAACCATTCTTTTACATGTCTGTTTCTCAACGTCTTTTTCTGTTCGCAAAGGTTTGTCTTCTCGTTATCCACTAACAAACTTACTAGAGTTTCAGACCACAGCTATGTAGTCGGTCACTTAAGACATCTAGCTCTGCGTTTGGCACTAAAATGACTGTTAGGGATGCCCTCAATTCTGCTATGCGGGAAGAACTGGAACGGGATAAAGATGTTATTATTTTAGGCGAGGAAGTGGCTCAATATGATGGTGCCTACAAAGTATTACATTACGGCAGTAAATGCATAATTTTATAGGTTACAAAAGGTCTTTGGAAGATGTTTGGAGATAGTCGTGTCATTGACACACCGATAACAGAGGTAAAGAGTTTTACCTAAGGCAAGTATTTCACTTGTAATTTTTAGATGGGGTTTGCCGGAGTTGCTGTTGGGGCAGCTATGGCTGGTCTTAAGCCCATATGCGAATTCATGACTTTTAATTTCGCTATGCAGGCTATAGACCAAGTAATCAATTCTGCTGCAAAATCAGCGTACATGTCCGCTGGACTAGTGAGTCAAATGATTTTGTTTTTTCTTCAGCTGTCATGTCTAATTTTTTCATGATTAACTAAGTGCTTTCATCGTCTGAGCTTTTTTAGTGAGACTGAGCTACGCGTTTATTTGTTTATGGTAAGCAGTTTCACCAACAATATGCTTAGTAAATCACTTCTGTATTTTGCATCGTTAATGCATTCATTATGCATCTTGATTTCCAGTTTCAGTGGCCTTTTCTCTGTCTACTATTTTGTATTCACTGTGATCAATAATCAATGACTTAAACTGTTCATTAAGGGAAAATGTAGATGGCGTTTTGAGTGTTTAATAAAAAATTCCTATATATACGCGGTACTAATTAATCCTAGTAATTACCACTTTTCAGTTATCCAATGTAAATGTGCGCATTCTGTTTAGTCATAGGTCTCCGAATCTTGTAACCTTAACTAAAAGTTAGACTACCTAGGTAGTGAATGGCAACTTCTGGTATGGCAAAACTGCCTTAAAAAGACCAGCATTTTTTATCCTACTTTTAAATCAAACCACGACAATGTTTCTACTGTACTTTTTACGAACATATTACTACTAGTCATGTGTGGGGCACTATACACACGGATATTCTTTGTTTGTAGTTCATTTTTCGCGAGTATCAGTCTTATTAAGTGTATTGGAGTGTAAGTGATTGGGACTTTATGTAAGTATTCCAATTATTTTGCTCAAGTTGATTCGTTATGGATCTTCGTACATTGTTTTGAGCTGATATTTTCTTGGTTTTAGTCAACTGAACTAGCTATGTCATGCCTCAGCGCTTGTCGCAAGTCAATGTTATTAGGATATTAAATCCTGCAATTTGAAACATATTCTGTCCGGTGTATAGTAATTTATTCGTGATATTTTAATTGATCATCAGATTTATTAAGTAAATCGTCAGTTAAAAAAACAATATGATATAATACCTTACCTAACACAGTGTTTAAGACTGCAATCTAAATCTTGGTAGTTACTCAGAACCCTATGAATAATACAGGAAATTAAAAATATCGGTTCTATTGTTGACTATTGTAATCAGTAACTCCATCGTGGCTTGAACTTTGATGTAGTGATCACGTTTCAATCATCAACTTATATTAGATAGTGTATTAACTTTTCGAGGTACTGTACACTAGTCAAGTTAGTTACAAAGCTCTAAACATTTTATGGCTTTTAGATAAGCTCCCGACTTCTAAACAACACACTACTCTCTTCATATAAGAGACTAGACGGACGATACTCAGAATGCTGTATGGGTAAATATGATAATTAGAAGTATTCGAATTAATGTGCCAGCTAATAGTTCCCGAAATAGTGCAATTTAAGGCAGCCAGAACTAGATGAGTACAAATGAACGTATTCTATTTGGAACTCAAAATCAGTGGGCACTCAAGTACAAAAGAATTATTAGTTCATGATTAGCTTTTTTTTGAAAAAATGATTATTAGATAGTGAAGAAGGGTTAGTTCTTGCACATATCACAGTAAATCGACATTCAGACACTTAATGAAAATTCACTGATTTGGCTTCTGTCTTGAATCATCCTTTGGTTAATATTAGTCTTTGACCGAAGAAGTTTCTCAATTTGTTTCTTTAGGGAAATCAATGAACTTCTAATTAAGACTGCCTATTAAAGTTATCGGTTTTAAGGAACAGTAGCTTTAAGACCTGGTTACAAACTACCTGAGTAAGTGCTTATCTTTATTGTGCTTTACAGTTATCATAATGGAATTACTTAGTTTCTAAAAGAATGGGAAAATTTGTGAACATTAATCTGTTGTTAATAACTTTTTTAGTTTTGAATTTCTTTGTATGGTTTTGTGGAGAGTATGTGATTTTGAAGTTGTTATCATCCCATTCCTGAGCTTTCATTTTCGAATAAACCACTGTGCTATTGCACAATGTTGCTTGCAGTTACGTTGCCTGCGAAACAAAACTATTCACGTGATAGAAAAAATAACAATCTAAGTCATCATATCTCACTTATGTTCCTTTTGTTTTCTAGGTGTCTGTCCCAGTTGTTTTCAGAGGGCCAAATGGATGCTCGGCTGGCGTCGCCGCCCAGCATAGTCAGGATTACGGTGCGTGGTACGCTAGTTGTCCTGGTCTTAAAGTTTTGGCCCCCTACAATTGTGAAGATTGTCGAGGTCTCCTGAAATCGGCTATACGTGATCCGGATCCAGGTAAGTTATATATATATATATATATATATATATATATATATATATATATATATACCGTTTGGAAGTTTTTCTTCTACCTGATGCAAAGTCTACTGTTTACTGCTAGAGTCTAGCTGACTCAAAAACTATAGCATAGGTAGTTGAATGGCAATATCCCTATACATAGATCGAGTTTGATAAACGGGTTCAGGGCAGAAGGTTCATTGCCAACCGTACTGATGGTCCAGAGGTAGTGTAATGATCCTTTTGGTCGGCTGATTGAATTAAAAGATTAAAAAGTTATTCTTCAATAATGTAATTTATTTACCAAGTACGAGGTTTTGTATTCAGCTTTATGGTTCATAGCCTTTGTCTGGCGATCTTAGTCAGACCAATCTGTTACTCAAGAAGTGTTTCGTTGTTTGCAGATCATAGATAATGTTGTTAGAATTCTCTAGCAGTGAGTTAAGTAAACCGACGTTTGATCTTGTTGAAAACAAATTGCAAATGAATCTATACGGGCATATTTCACAATCCTTGTCCTATCAATGTTCAATAATAACAATTTACTCGAAGTTTATTTCTCGATTTTGTTTATATTGAAGTACCAGATTGATATAGTCCTACCATTATTCTGACATTTATTTCCTCATATATCAGTGGTTCATTTGGAGAGCGAATTATTGTATGGACAGTCATTTGATGTTTCAGATGAAGCATTGTCTTCAGACTTCTTGATTCCTATAGGTCAAGCTAAAGTTGAAAGGGAAGGTAAGCTTCTTTGTTTTACAAGTTTTTTTCCGTCCTTATTTTTTGATTTAGCATAAGATTCTCTCTGTTAGTGCATGAGTATTTACCAATTGCTAATATATGACTTTAAAATATGTTGGTTATGTCTATTATACAAATTCATTATTTGTATTTCAACTTTTCTGGTAGTTTGCATTCGTCCATTGTTTTCCTTACGGCCTCGTTTATGTCCTACATTTCTGTTTTTAATCACCTTACAAAAACGTAAAATTTAATGTAATGATGCTTTATAAACAAACAAAGTAAACCAGGTCAAGAAACAGAAGTGTTGAACCTCACACATTTTTTAAAGTTACCACATTCTGCAGTAAAAAAGGGAAAATATATGAATGCAAATAGAAAAGATATGAGTGCAATATGAAGTAAATACATGCACTGTCATAAGGTTCTTAAGATTTGAAGCAGTATCGAGAAAAAATTTACGAATGTCATTATCGTCAGTTGTTCAGCACTTCGACTTTCGATCCCAACCAGGTAATCTGTAAGATTCATATCAACTGCCAGTAATCTCGAAACTAATTTCATATTTCATTCTTGCCATCCTTTGAATCTTATAGTTCAATTCTACTAATGACGATATTCCGTTTGGTGGCACACGGTTGCGTAACTTGTGTAACGTACGTCTTAAGCACCTCAGTGTGCATAGGTTACAACATTAGGTGTCAGTCAGTCAGTCGCAACGTAGAACTTCGTACATACATACATCAGTTCGAGTTGCTATACCACATTAGCACAGAGATGAAGTTGTCGATTCAAATCCCATATTGGTAGTAGTGAGAGTATAAGCATTAATGTGAAAGATTAGGGTTTGAAGATGTTATTTAAGGAGTATAATCCAATAAAATAAATTTGGAAAGAAAAAAAAGATAGAGACATGAAGAATTCAGAAGATTATAATTTGTTAGAACATAAAGAGTGGATGCACGTTCGCCTTTGCAAACGATTTTGAGCCATGTCATTCAAGGTCTCTAACCGTCGATTGCTATGATCTCGCGGATCCCAACCAGGTAGTCTACATCCACCAATATGGCTCAGTCCAATTGTCAGTGACTTCATGGATTTGTGCCACGTTTTGGTCTGGCCGCCCCTGGCTTTCTTCCAACATACTCCTACACCGTAAAACATTGCACGTCGGGGCAGTCTGTGGTTGGGCATACGCAATACGTGTCCCAGCCATTTCAACTGCTAAGGTTTCACTACTTCATCAATCGATTTGTCATCCATACCTAGTACCCGTTTCCTAACATTTGCATTACTTACCCGGTGGTCCCAGGATATACGAGCAATGCTTCGAAGACACCTATGATCGAATACTAGTAGCTTAAGAATATCCCCTACTCTTACCAGCCATGTTTCACTGCCATATAGTAGGACGGAACGAATTACTGCATAGTAAACCCGTCCTTTGGTCGCTAGACGGATATCTCGCCTACGCCACAAATGACGCAAGTTGGCGAAAGCTAGACGAGCCTTCTGTATCCGTGCTGAGATTTCGTCACACACCAGACCACAAGGGCTGATGAGGCTCCCAAGATAAATGAGGCGGTCAATACGCTCAACTACTTCACCCTCCCCCCATCATTAGTTCAGGTGCCGATGCAACTCAATCCTGAAGTAACATTTCGCACTTCGAGGGGGAAAATCGCATCCCGAATATGCTTGCATTGTTGCTTACAGTGGTACAACATTAGATGACTAACTATTGGGATCTTTGTGCTTCATTTCTATATTATTCACTCAGTACTTTACAGTAACCCGTTGTTAAATACTTCTCGCCAACTCATATCTTCAGCCAAAGTAACTCAAAATTAAAGCATAAAGACATCCTGTATTTGTTTCTCATGACATTTATAACATGGTTACGAATAAAAAAGCATAAATTATTTTCCGAATATCAATAATATGTGATCTAAGAAATCCATTATTGTTTTCACAATAATATGAAAAGTATACTTGTTGAAATACACTATTTACAGGCATTGGATATATTGGGCTGACAAGGAAGAAATATCGCTGTTAAGAACAATTGACTCAACCCAGTGATCAAGCATAGTTCCATGGATATAGATTTTAGAAAAACTTTCTGTGAGGGCTTTCAGTAGTAATTTGCTACCCTAACCGAAGCCGTTAGTCCTCACTCCGAACTCACAATGTACTGTTTATAAAGCAAATGCTTTAATGACAAGTCTATCGCGTATAATTTTCTATTTACTGATTGGTTTTTCGGTTATCCTGTTCTGACTTTGATGTGTGAATTTATGCTTCCTATTATAAAAAACACAGTAGTAATAAGCGGCTAGATCACTCAGCTATGGAGCACACACAATTTCTAGTGTCTTTGTCAGACCAAGAGGTGTTTCTGTATATCGTAGATAGGATTTATTAGGAAGGAATATTTAGAGTCGTTAATCAATAAAATTCTTTGCTGGTTACGAAATTTTATTGCTTCCTCCTTTAAGGTGGAAAAAATCTACTGCTTTTCAACACTTCGTATAGGGGGAAAACTAGAATCGTACATAAATAACAATCATTATTAGTGACTCCCGTATGCATTACTTCCTCGCAAATCTTGTTTGGCTGCATAAATACCAATATCTTTGAGACTTGTAATGATATAGAATTGTATTGCTTATAGTGTTTTCGTGCAATATGTTTCCTTCATTCATTTCTAGAATGATAGGATTTAGACGATGTTGAGCTATCAGATACCTTTTTTATTATCTCTAACTATTTAAATATGATGTGCATAGTCAAAAAGTTGATCACAGTTAAAAATATTTACGAAAGAAAAGTCCTCCATATGGTAGTAGACAGTTTTGAGAAGAGGTATTCACAATAGCCCAGAAACGACAAATCTTATGTCGGCTCAGGCTTTTAAGGTTTAGAATGTTTAGGGAATCGTAAATATATAGTGACTAAACGCCTAGTAACCTTTGTTCTCCTTAAACTTCAAGGATAATTTCTTACTTTGCCGTGTAACTCAAATACATATTTAAGTTTAGTTTGGTGTGTTAGGATTTTGTTCTGGAATTAACCTCACTGGTAAATTTGATTAAAATCCTCTATTTGTGAAACTGTTCTCTCAACTCTCAAAAGTTTTTATAAATGTCCACGTTTTTGTTTAAAAATATATCCTTTTTATAAATGTTTGTAGGAGAAACGTCATTTGTTTTTCAAAAAATTAGTTTTTCTTAAAAAAATTCGATAGTATAGTGACAAACATAGTTGATCTAAGGTGTATGATTAATGTCTCTGCAATAGATTCCTGATAGTTTTATCACGCGTTTGTTGATGTATTGTAGATAAGAATTATGCATGGTAATTTTAATTGTAAAGAGAGAAAAGCGGGTCTTATGAATCGTGTATTCAACGTTCTACATACTTACTGGTCGTTTTTTGTATTTTAATTTATAGGGAAAGATGTTACTCTCGTTAGCTACAGTTTAGGTGTGGGTACTTGCCTTGCTGCTGCTGAAGAATTATCAAAACTAGGTATCAGTGCCGAGGTATGCAAGAAGTTTCATCATTTTTCTTTGATAATCCGTATGTAGAATAATTTTCAATGAGTTTTTCTCCAACCGCTTAGTTAAATAATTCCGTGATTCAAACTTTTAGATCATTTTCTTTTTTCTCTTGTCTTTTTAGATGAACTAGACAGTTTATAATTTTGAAATAAAAATCATGACAGATAAGTTTTAGGGACAATTGATGCTAGTTATTAAGATGTCCAAAATTCATAAGAAGATACAGAACGTATCTATTTGTGATATTGTGATCGATTTTAAGCCATTTCAATTTGTTTCCGGCTACTAGTTTTTGTCATCTTGAATACTCACACCATATTTGAACAGGTTATATGTAAAGCTGTGATTACATAGTTTAGGACTGTAACTTCCAACCAGTGGACCATGAGTTTAGACTCCTGTCTAAGTTTAACTGGCCAGTCACTGCATAGTATATTTTGCTTATGGGTCTATTATACAACCTGGATCATGTTTTCTTGAGTTGTTCTTTTTTTCTCTTGACACTGTTCAATATACGCGATGACAAGTCTTGTATATTCTTATATCGTTATTTGTAAGGAAGACTTTGATACGTTGGATATATTCTTTTTTTTCCTATTTTAGGTAATTAATTTGCGTTCCTTGCGGCCAATGGATGAAGAAACAATATTTCAATCCGTTAAAAAGACACATTATTTAGTAACCGTAGAAAATGGTTGGCCTGTATGTGGTATTGGTGCTGAGATATGTGCTCGCGTCATGGAAAGTAAGTTTAGTACCCATTGTAAATGTATTATTCCATTCATATCCTTTTTGAAAATTTCAGGATAATAGGCTTTTTAATCACGTTTTTGAGTTTTATATTAAATTTTGCAATAAAGTGCACCATAACCAGAATTGAGAGTAAGTCTGAGAAAGTCATCAACCTACTGCAAGATTATGTAAATATTTATTGTTTTCTATTTGGTGTTTGAATAATTGAAGCTTTTTGTTAGATTAATGACTTAATGACTAAGAAAATAACTTTGATTTTATCCAACTAAGTTACAGATGCAAACACTGCTCCATCTGATTGATTTAATTTCCAAAATAGAGTACCAGTATCATTAGTTTTTACATAACTAAATTGTAATTCATAGTATATACTTGATAAAAATGAGTTACATTTGTTGAGTTAGTAAATTTACCGTTTCATGACCGCATATGTATTTGTCATGATTATATGGTTAAACGGAATGGCAGAGCATTAGTTATATCATTTTATTCGTTATGAAAAATTTACTTACAAATGCTTTTCAGTGTTTCAGTCAATTATCGTATTACAACTTTCGTACTAATATTTAAACTTTGAGTATTATTGGTTTAAGGGATGTTTGACTCACTTGTGACATTTTTCAGTAAACAATTACAAAATTTATACTTCAACTTGATTTGTTTATAACTGTAGCTGGCGCTCCACTAAACAACTTTAGATGTAAGAAACCATTCGTGAGGGGTGTAAAAATGAATCACCTGAGCGAAATAGCTCATAATGATGTTTTTTAAATGGTGTAATACATTCATAGAATCCTGAAAGTATTTTAAGCTACCTATCGAAAACTTAATCTCATATCGTAATTTGTGTGCTAACTGTCCTACCAATCTATGGTCAAATAATCCGAATTATTAGGCTTTAATCTCAATATATAAAATAATGGAACGATGTCGGAGGTTGTATACACAAACAGTCTTTTATATATATATATATATATATTAAACTAACCATTTTGCCCTTATTTTTATGGCTTTTTTAGCGGATACCTTCAACTACTTAGATGCTCCAGTTTTACGAGTGACTGGCGCAGATATTCCTATGCCATATGCTCTTAATCTGGAGCGTGCTTCTTATCCTGATGCACATAATATTGTAACTACTGTAAAAATGGTTAAGAATATTCAGTAAACAGTTGGTTTTGAACTAACTAACTACCTTTCGTATCAGCTATGCAAGCTACCTACTAGTTAATTATTTAAAATGTTCTTTCACTATTGATGCATCTCAGTATACTTGTGATTTGTAAAATTTAACGTGTTCTACTATTACAACAGTAACAACGACTACTAATACAACTTATTTAAATGTCTAGCAATTTTGCTTCGGCTGTTGTTTTACATAAAAGTACACCACTTAGTCAATAAAGTATTTTTTATTACTTCATTTCTATATTTTTAGTTCAGAAAAAAATCCAGGGCATATAAAATGAGAACAAATAAAAATATCTTCAGAGTTTCTTGTTTGTTGTTTAAATAATTTCTGGAGTTCGTCTTAGCTTTCAGAAATCCAGCTGGGATTTTTCGAAGATATCTTTATAATTCAAAATCTCTGAGAAGATAATGATAATAATAACAAAAAATAATAAGATAAGCAGGTTTAGTGAGTAGTTCGCCAAATCTCTCTATATATCACTCCGTGTGATCCCTTCACACAAGTTTGTGGTAAGGTCGTTCCTATTTTAGCGATTTATTGGGGTTTTAACTTTAGGTGTAAGATAAGTTGCTTGTAAATTACACTTAACCTTATTACAACAAAACGTCGTTTTATTTCACGAGACACGACAGCCCACTAATTTTGCTTCAATCAAATTGATTAAAAATAATCCGCAACGGCAAACAAAAATATATTGAGTAGAAAAAAAGACAAAATGACGTGTTATGAAATTAACGGTTACAATACATTAAGTCTGTTAAATATTAAGATGCTTTTCGATTTGTTTTCCCTTAATTATTCAACCTCTGACTTGAAAGATTCAGATTTATATGTTGTGAGAGTTCAGCTAAGTTAAAGACCTTTTGTATTGGTCTCATGCTTTCGACAGCGCAGCTTCCTCCATTTTTACTCTGGTTACCATAGCACTGACAAAATATATACAAGGAGCACTTTTGTGTAGGTTTACCAATTGTCTTAATATTTCAAGAAAACTCTGCCCCAAAATCTAGACGAATTCATACCATTGCTACTACTATGACATGGTGGTAGGGCTTGCCTATCGTGATGAACCAACCGAGCTATACTGGCTGGAACAATCGTTCCTCAAGGGCCCACCATGCCAGACAGGTCGGTTGAAGAACAGTAAAACTGAAAGCAGCAAACCCAAGTTCCGAGGGCGAACTCGTACTGCTGACTGTACAGAGGTGTGACAGCAGTAAGGTGTTTCCGTCAGACAAGTAGCGATGCTGTCTTCTCGTAAGGAGGGGTTGGGCTTCAAAAGGTCGACCCTGAAAATGCGCACCTCACCTTATCTCACGGATTTCCGTCCTCAGCCGTAAGGTCTCAACAGGTACGGAGCTAACGCGAAAATTACCCACCTCAAGCAGTTGTCCCTTAGGCACTGCGGTCACGCTCTCAGGTCACTAAGACCCAACCCAATTTCCTTTTCAGGTACCTCTGGAAGAACGTTTCCACGGTGTGGGAAACCGTGGAGTGACCTCTAACAGCACTCAAGATCACTGTATTCATAATCTCCTTCAATTCCTATTATTCCTCCCACCTCGTCTTTCAACTCTAAACTTCCGCTTTCGGCTTCCTCCTCAAGTGTCACCTCAGACAACGATTCTAGTGCGCAAAACATTGTCCCAGGTCTACTGAAACCTCGCTTCAAACTACACATGGAGCCCTCAATGTACTCACTCTATGTCAAATCGTCCAGCAGGCCTTCTTGGCTAGAACCCTTGAATCTCGTACCATTGATGTACGCTGTGTCTCCAAAACATACATACAGGATCCTAGTGTGGTCATTCGCTTGACCTCAGCTCGCCAAAACGGAGAGCCACAAGATACCCTCCGTGTACCTGGCGACACGATGACTAGTTCTTGTGGACTTGCAGGTGTACACATATCACTTAGTACGAGAGCACAACAAGCATTATTCGAGTGGGTCCCCGTTAATAGTCGCCTGTGTGCTGTTCGGCTAAACGGCTCCGTAAGAAGTCGGATGGATTGGCTCCAGAGGTCTCTAAGTAGGAAGGTCTAATTTTAGCGATTAGGTTGACTAATATTCTAGCTAAATTCTGGAAGTTGGATGTAATCCCATCCGACTGGTTATAATCTCTGATTGTCTCAATATATAAGAAGGGGTCAAAATCATCCTGCGATAACAATAGAGGGATTAGTTTGACTAATATAGCATCTAAAATACTAGCCTCAATAATTATCGGGCGCCTAACTAAGACTCGTGAACTGCAAACACTAGAAAATCAGACTGGCTTCAGACCCGGTCGTGGCTGTATCGAGCACATATTCACTATTCGTCAGGTTTTAGTACACCGGCATGCTTATCGGCGTTCGACATAGTTTTTCTTGACTTAAGAGCAGTATTTGACTCTGTAGACCGAGAGGTTCTGTAGCAGTGTCTGTCATTGAAAGGTGTACCACAGAAGTACATAAACCTTGTGAAGGCTCCTTACTCGAACACTACAAGTCGAGTGAGAGCTTATGGCGAACTGTCATCTGATTTTACAACCTCAAGTGGTGTCCGACAAGGCTGCCCACTACCCCCATTTTTGTTTAACTTCATGATAGACCTACTGATGGAAATAATACTCTCGCCGACTGAATTTTCGGACATTGATCTCCTACCAGGAGGTCCACTTATCGACTTAGAATACGCAGATGATATGATACTGTTTGGTGAAGATGCTGACAAAATGCAGAGTCTTCTGTTAGAACTGAGTATTAATGGCAGGATATTTGGAATGCGTTTCTCCCCCTCTAAATGCAAGTTGTTGCTTAAGGACTGGCCTGCGTCAACACGTGAACAAAGGATATGAAGTGAAGTAGTCGAACGCGTCGACAACTTCACTCATCTTGGAAGTCTAATCAGCCCTAATGGGTTGGTGTCTGACGAAATCTCAGTACGGATTCAAAAAGTTCATTTGGCTTTTGACAACTTACGTCATCTATGGCGAAGACGAGATATCCGTCTATCATTTAAGAGACGAGTATACTGCGCGGCAGTTCGTTCCGTTTTACTTTACGGCTGCGAAACGTTGCTATTAAGAGTAGAAGATACTCCTACGTTACTAATATTTAATGACAGGTATTTTAGAAATATTACTAGTATACACCGCGAACACCGAGTAAGTAATAGTGAGGTTAAGCGAAGGGTATTTGAGGAAGATGGTAAATCAGTTAAGGTTGTGAATCATTATCGACTGAGATGGTTGGGCCACGTGTTACGTATTCCTGAACACCGATTATTACGACACACAATGTTGACTAGTGTTAGGGATAGTTGGAAGAGAGTTAAGGGAGGCCAAACCAAAACGTGTCACCAGTCCTTGAAGTCACTAACTTCTAGTTCGAGCCATGTTGGTAGATGCAAACTACTTGGTTGGGGTCCGCGCGACTATCGTAACCAATGGTTGGAGACTGTGTGTGACATGGCTCAGAATCGATCACAACGGCGTAGGTGTATACACCTGTCTTCCCTTGAACTATGAGATTGAAGTTGCTTTATATCTCTCCTTCTACGAACTAATTCTTTGTTCCTGTACTATATCTTTATACACAATCTTTCTTTTATATATTACTGCCATTGAAGTAACTACTATGAATTTGTTCATCTTGTGCTAATGAGGTGTGGCAACTTGGACCGATGCATATATGTGCTTGGTCCTACGTTGTGGCTAACTGACTGACTTATTTTATTCAGTTTAAAACATTCTTACGGTTTTTCGTTGTTTCTCTTTAAGAAAATGAAACATATACTTCTCCAACACTCATTGTATAAAGACAACGAATGAAGAATAAGAGAATTTAGTGGACAAAACATTTAAGCTGAACACCCCAGCATAACAGAATACCACCTGGAAACTGAACTCATTCACACGAAAGTTTGAAAAGAATATAATCATGTACTTACTAGTGGCTCGTAGATGAGTTCATGAAGTTTTATTGGAAAACAATATCTGTGAAATTTCTGTGATATCGGAAATGAAACGCTTATTATTAGTGGAATTCGATGGTATGGTATGTCGAGAATTGACTGAAGTTGGTAACGTGGACCATTAGAAACTAACCTAGTGGACTATTCGTTAACCACCTACCATGAGACCTAAAGTTCTTGTGTTCGATTGTCAGCTAGATCTGGTGTGTTACTACTGCGAAGCTTCTTGCTAAGACAAAGCAGTTGTACCTTGTATTTTAATGGTATGACACTCTAGCAAATGCAGGCCACAAGTAAATAATTATTTTTAGAAATATATTTTATTTGACTTCAAAAATGATTATTAGTGATAGGAAATCTATGAGCAGCTTAACAGACTAATCAAGACTTCAAATAATCGTTTCCTGGTAAACGTGTGGAATATAATAATGAGGCTGACATGCACACATGTACATCTGCTTTTAGGTTGTCAGTTTAGAGCATGTTAAAAGGTTTATTTATCATATCTTGAAAATAACTTCATTGTTTTTTATGGATCATTAATTTTTTCTAACTTTAATCTTAAATAATAGGATTTCCCTTGAGTATACTAAATGCATTTAATTTCTAATAAACTATATTTGACAATCATCCCCTTCTCACGTTGTCATCTGCTTACAACTTCGATGTAACCAGGATTTTGTATCTTGCAATGGATATTTTTCCCTCATTTTTACATCATAAAACATCTACTTTTAAATAATTTAAATGCTTATTTAATTATTTTAATAAGTAGTTTTTCACTTACGTAAAGTTAACCTCTTCCTGATTCTTTGGATCTAATTCTTGCATTAATACTTTCATTTGTTCTTCAGTAAATTGTATTCCAAGTTTCTATAAGATGTAAATGTTTCGATTATAAATAGTTTTTCAAAAAAAATAGATTTTCAATTTATACAAATTGTCTGTTTATTATTAACATTAAAAAAAACTAGTCAAGTAGGTATACATTCCATTTTATATCTCAACTAGATATTATACAAGATGAAAAACAGTGATCCACCTGGATAAACAGACCATTCTTTTTCTTAATTGATGAAGTAACTTCCTTTCATATGTTAATGTAACATCAACTGTTATAGATGTGGTGAATATTAATCCTGTCATCAACGTCGTCGCCGATGTGTAACTAACATTTTTTCCTATCTGTAGTTAATAATAACGGAAAGAATTAACGAAACACCGTCTAATAACAGCCCAACAATGTGTAATAAACAACTTGTAATAATTGCTCGAATATATTGTTGTTTTTTTTAAAAGTAGGAGCATCACATTTCGTTATCCATTTAATTCGTTCATTTCAAGTACGATTAATCCTTTCGTCTTATTGCACGATATATTGACCTTTTATGGGACTCAGATAATGATTGTATGGGTCCACTTTAAGGAATTTTTAATATTAAATGTATTCCACAGTACGATTTACTGAGATTAGCAACTTTGGTAATATCATATTTGCTTATTGTTTACAGTTTACATTGTTGTGGTGAAAGTTGACATGAGTAAAGACAAGATAAGTATGATCATAAAAACAGTTGTACATAATGAGAAAAACACGAGAAATTGAAAGAAACGAGTTCAGTATTTTGAACTTGATGAAAGAGAAGAAGTGATTATCTGCATCATTGTAAGTGATTTCAAGCAACATTACGAAAAATATGAAATGTTAAATTAAGATGATCTAGCTGGGTCTGTTTTACTCTACATGTATCATTGTAAGAGTCATTGACATAATATTTCAGTTTGATTGCCCTAAGATATACTCCAACATGTTTTCTGTAAAACTTCCAGTCCGCTCATAACTAATCAGAATATGTTAATACTTTGCTCATACTTTTATATTGTTTAATTGAAATGTGCGTTTACGATTATGACGATATGCATGGATAAGGCCTATTATTTACTAAAGAATGTAATAAATACAATAAAACTACGATTATGCTGACAGATTTGTTAATTTTAAAGTAGATGTATTTATAGTTAGGAAATTAATCTATTAGCCAATATTACTGAAAATATTTATTCAACACAAGATCCAATGTTCAAATTGAATCTGTCATTATCAACAGGGGAAACATATAAATCCATGTGAATAATGATAAATATCATATACGTTGGGCAAAAGTGATAATAATCGTGATTTAATGACTTGTCAGATGAAATATGCTAATTTTTGAATAAAACAAAAACCGGTAAATTGTAGATTATTGATCTTTTATTCTATATTTATTCCATAACCTAAATGATTAAAGTGTCAAGACAATGTTTTATGTGCTCACTTCGAAATATATTCATTTGATTCTGTTGTTATAAAAGGATTTATTTACTTTTATCGATTGCCAACGGAAATGAAACTATATATTGAACTTTGTTTTTAGTAATTGTAACTTTGTACACTGAATAAACCGTCATTGTTAATTACTTCTTGAACTTACAATATATCACTTTTATTCCCCTTAAAAACTCATTTATCACAATAAGCTTATTTATTATTTCCATTGTAATGAACATCTATGAAAGTTTTGAAAAATCAAACTGATCACTTATAAATTTCGTAATATTTATAGCGTATAAACAAGTAATTTCATTAGATTGAATTGATTAACAATAATCCTAACTATAAGTTGGTTGTTGGTAATCTCAAAAACTATACTTGTTTATTGTTCTCGTTAACATAGAAAGCTGATCTGACCTTATCTCATCCTTGACATCATCATAGTGATTACTAAAAAAAAAGTTGATTTACTTAAAAAAGAATTTTCTCAACGGATTATCTTTAAAATAAGCTCTTTATAAATTATGAAAAAATTTGGTTGAAATCTTAATTATATTAGATCATATGCATAAAAGGTAATTAGTATTTAAAATGTAATGTCATGACTTACCATCATATAAATCTGTTTAAATAATACAATAATACAAAATGATTAGCTTTCTATAATTTAGATTTATTACTTCTAATAAAAGAAACATTTAGTTTAAGAAATTAATCAAAGTACTTTCTGGAAATGAGTGTACATTTTAAATTATAAATTACATAAAATTATTATTATAATAATAATAAAAATAAACTAATTCGATTCACTTTTGAAATGAATTAATAAAAAATTTCGGAACAAATATACTTCATATATCTAAAATATTGTAATGATTACTTAACATTGTAAAGATATTATTGTAAAACTATTTGTGTATTTCAACTTAGTATTGTTTGTTTGAATCTTCCCATTGGCGTTTAGGACTGCAACTGGTCAGTCACTTATTGGCATATGTGGATACTGTGCGAATGACCTTCATATAACCTAAATTCACAAGCATGGTTAGCAAAGATGGATAGTGGCTAGCAGTGGAATTCAAGACGTATCAGGACATCAACTCTAAGATGCAGGTACATCCAGCAGATGGGTCCCAAATAGGACGAAACGCGCGTCATGGATTCCACTGCTAGCCACTAACCATCTTTGCTTTTATTTGTGCATTTGACTGTTATGCATCATATAATTGTTATATCTTGGTGAAGACATAAGCACGGGTAACTTCCAGAATATATTAATGGACTATTATTCTATACATATTGTTATTGTATAACTATTCAGTGATTAGATTTAATCTATATTTATATTCATCTTATTATAAGCTTCGTTTTGACTTATGGGTTATTATTATACGATTTACTGTCCCTAAATTATATTCGGTTTATTGATTACAGTCTCCCACGTTCACAGCCACATTTGGCTTGATCTTGTACAAATATTATTTTCTATTTTATGGTGTGATGCGGTCTGTCTATCTGGTATATAAATCGAGTATGCTTGAAATAAATGATTTGCATAACAGAAGCTGTTATTGGTGTTCTGAACTCAACTGGAAGGGCTAGGCGGACAGAGGACCAATGACGACGCTAGGCTGTTCATACTGGTGGGACGTCATTGATTTGGTACAGTGCTAAGATTGGATAAGTCGTATTCCGATTGGTGACTAAATCACCAGACATAAAATCACAACAAATTGGCGACGGCCTCTTTGAAAGTTCATATTAATAATAAGCGAACTTCTTTTTTCAGTTAATTTAAATATATTATTGTAATATTTTTTCTATTGTGAGACTCCTCAGCAGTGCGCATCCATAATTAGTTGACAAAATATTCTATAAGTAAGTTTTCCATGGTGGTCTGGCTTCAAATGACTCATGATTTCAATCATAAAATTACTAAAATCTCCACAATAATATTATTTTTTTCCATAACTGATCAGGTATGATTTAGTTTTAATTTCATTTAGACTAGAATGAAAAGTTTTACAACGGTTAGGTCTTCAGTACATTAATAAGCATTAAATATGAATGACGTTTAAATTTGTTTCATGTCATTAATTGATGACGATTCGAAAAAGCTTAAAGCCAAAGCGGGCTCGGTAACTTTGTCGATACAGTATGAGACTTGTTATCAGTGGTGACTTATGTCTATTTCAGCGTTCGTGCCTAAAAGTTTCAAGTCTAAGAGAGCAATTTAACTTTGAAACGGATAAGCCAGAATCCAACGGTCTAAATTCCTAACTTCAGTCACTTGACAATGCAGAATGTAATTATCCAAGAATACTGATGATGAACAATCTCAGCCCCGAGATGGCTGAACGACGTTTGTCACTACAATGTCAAGAGATATAGACTTCATTTACTGGTTATTACTAAGCAATAAAAACTGAGCAGCCTGGAGATTTCGAATCGAAGAATACGAATTTTCACAGTATACAGGACAAGCCAATATCTACACATGATGAAACTATCTTTTACTATGACCTTGTTTTTTATTTTTTGTTTATTTGATAATATTCTTGTAGAAGGTTTACACGAATTGCTGAAACCCATCATTGAAGCTATTTATTTTTAATTGCTCAGGTTTTAACAAGTAAAATGTTTACCTTATGTTAGCCTACTATCATTTGTTTCCTTTAAGTTCTGTTTTCTTCTTACTATCTTCACGTCTTCATTCCATTTCTCTCACAATAAATGGAAACTATATTTCATTAGGCCATTTACATCCATAATTTTCTACTAATATTTCAAGATACCACTGACTGTACATAATCAATAATAAAAGCTGTGAGAAGTTATGAGCAAGTGAAATAACCTCCGGAACTCTAATTAATATTCAACTAAATAAAAACCTGTCTAAAATATGTGTGTACGCTTACATACCAAAAATAATACAAAGAATAATTTTCTATTAAACGTAATAAATCATGAACCATTGTACTGTATTGTATAATTGATGATATAGGTTTAATAATCTAAAATGCTGTCTAATTTTCGATGCTAAGTTGTTGGTTTCGTCTGATTTAACATATCTGCCAAAATACTGCTTTGAAAAACCATAGTCATAATTCGCGAGCAATCTGGCTTCTTATCTCTACCAGCGACAGCACTCGAACGACTAATTATGCGTACAAAAGATGTCCGGTTTCAGTCTGCCTATCGTCAAACTGATGGGATAAAATAGGAAGTCCACTTGGTTATGCCCTAGCAGATATATTCATGGCTAAACTTGAAAAGAACAAGCTTAAAGGAGCGGATGATGAAATGGCATATTATGCGAGGTATGTTTACGATAATTTTATCGTATGTAATGGTCAGCAATAACCAAATCACCTGTTAAACCTTTTCAACGACGCTCATAAAAATATTCAGTTTACCATAGAACAGAAAAGGAATGTCAAGTACCATTATCTCGACACTGCCATACAACTGAGGGAGGATGTTACAGTTCAGCGCTCAGTTTTTATCGACAAGATACGTGGAATGGTGTTCAAAAGTTTTTGTCTGATTAGTTACAAAAAGACACTTATCAAAACCTTGTTCCACATAAAGGAAATAATGTGCACTGTTGGTACACTAAAAACAGAATTGATACACGTGAAAGAACGTTTAAAGAACAATGAGCATCCAAGGAAATTTATTACGAAGTCTGGGAAAAGTAAGTAGAAAACGCTTAAAGAAACCACAGTAGACAAGAAACTTATTTTCATCCAACTTGAATTTAAGGGTGACTATGTTGTGGCAACAATAAACAGAAGATTAAAAAGCACACTGACCAGAAGTTATCCTACAGCCAAGCTGATTATCTTATATGTTCTTTAATCCAATCGAAGATCGATAGGTACGCTTTACTTGTTATCACCACTTGCATATACAGATTTATATGTATCTGCCAAAGCAGTTACATAGGTCGAACAGTAAGAAAGGCCTTCATTTGTTTCAAGGATGTATTCCAAAATATCTCAGGTCATTAAAATTTAAGGCCTTTGGCAGCGCTGTCGCATAACACTTTTGTGACATACGGCATCAAGTTGATAGACTAAAATCTTTCAGTACTATCGAATGACTGTTGAATTCCATTCTTCTCAAATTTGTCGAATCCATATCCATTAAGCTAATAAAGCCAAACTTATGTATCCAAAAGAACACAGTTGAAAATCAACCCTTACCTATGGTGATTTCATCGTCATTTTTTTCAACTTCTCTCTCTCCTATTTCGATTACATCAGTTATTTCGAATTTATAGCCAAATTGTTTGTTTTTTGATTGACTAATCTCAACTCATATTATTCTTAATTGATATATTAATTTATGTTCAACTACTATATTGTAGAATCCATTATTTATTTTACTATAACTGATGATAAAAAATATTTTCCCACGCATCTACCATACTCATTATATGTCAGCACTCTCACTACTCTACCATAATGATACCATATCCATTTTTACTGTTATTAGTGTGTGTAAACTTTATAATAATTTTGATTTTTATATTTCAGGTTGTAAGTAGTTGATGATAATCTAATGAAATAAAATGAATTCTTGTTATTCTGCTCAATTCTTTGTTCTTGCTCTATTCAAAACTATATTGATTATAGTCAATGGGTTTTTGTAATCAAATACCTTAAACAAATAGGAAACAAATGAATTTACTGACAAAAAAATTAAGACATGATGAGTAATGTCAAACGAGTTTGTAAAACTGAGGAGTCAGTTAACATTAAGGAAATCGAACCCAGTGATTTCCAATCTTGCGACGAGCGTGATACATTGGCACCATAGAGTTAAAGTCCTGTTGTTACAGTTTACAACTCCGATAGACTTCGTGATATAGTACTGCCATCATTCTACGTTATCTATCTTAATACGAACATGATTAAAGTATATGGGTCAAATCTTTTCAGGTTGAATTAAAAATTTGACCGAAGTTGGTTGTATGGACTGTCAGAATTTGCGTCGGTAGTCTAAATATATCGTGCTAGTCATAAAATGTAGAAGAAGAGATTTTGTCAGTGTTTTTTACATTTAAATTAACGACTTCTACATCCAAGGCTCTACGCACACAGTGTACTTAAAGTTTGCCATTGAGTGGTGAATATTTTACTTATCTAAAGAATCGTTTAAATTTCAAAAGTATGGTCTAACATACTGCAAATATAGAATATCAACAATTAATTTTTATAAAAACCATGCTTTGTCAAACGACGATTATACATATGAACATTTAAGAAGAAAGAATACACATACATTTAGAATTTTCACGAATACTTGTCTTGTAACAATTTTATTACCGGCAATATCCAAAGGACGTAGTAAATCAGCTAAACTTTGTTTTGTTGAACGTCCCATTATGATCAAGATTTCTTTTGGACTATATTCAGATCTTTTGAAACTTGGTGACAGTACCCGAATTTTATCAGTTGTTGTCTGACCGTATCTTACACATAGATTCGGTAGTTTAATTCGAGCTGAATCTTGTAAATCAAGAAAATCTTGATTTACTATAATATCCTGTCAAAATCCAAATAAATGTCTTTTGATATAAATTAATTCAACAATGAAACATTGCTTGTTAAAAACTGTTAGTTTATAGTACAGAAATGCACTTGTTTTCACAGTTATTATACCCTGACTGATCATCGATGACTAGGTTATATTGGACAATCGCTTGTAATAGTGCGTAGTTTCTTGGTGGTGCAACTATGAATGACGGCATTAGAGATTGAACACAAGACTTTCAGATCTCTCAGCTAGTGTATAATTCAAATATCACTGAGCCAGTAACAAATTGTTTAGTCAGTTTATAAAATAGCCTGACTATCATCTATTCCCATCCGTGATGATTGTATCGTAACCAGGTAGTCTGTAATTCGCCCTCAATGGGTTCTGACTGGAGTTTCAGGAACTCATCATCCCAATGTGATATCTGGCCGTGGTGAAATCCAATATTAAAAATTGTTTTTGTTTTCTACAACTATTCAGTAAATAACAAAGAGTTAAGTGACTGATAATAATTATATTTTGAATTTCGAAAAGTTTTGTTGCCATTCAATTTACTAGACTTCTTTCTAGATTGTGAGAAGATAAAAATAAATGTGATTATAAATTTTTATTTCATGAATTACTTTATGCAACTTCTGTTATATGGAAGGTTGCCTTTCAGAATATTTGATGATGCGAGTTTGGGTTTATTTATAAAAGAAATCGAATGGTTACTGGAAAATGATGTGCAGTTATGCAGTGTAATTGACTAGCCCTTGCTTATTATATCTGACTAGTCACACAAATCCCTAAGTAAATTAATTTCAAAAGACAATAAAACAGTTGGGTATAATATGTGAAAAATGAAAGTAAGATATGTTTGGCCACTGATCGACGACTGATAAGCACCAAGTATATAGACTGTTGTTATGTTCGTAAAAGTGACTTCACTCTACTGTATCCTGGGTTTTATACTGTTTAACTAAACATTCATTTTATCTGAGTTCATCTCATTTTCAGTCACTAGTCAGTATTATATGTCCACGTATTTCTTGATCTGGTATGGAGGTCTACTTATCTCATATCTAGTATTATTGTCTTGTTCAACTAGTCGTATTATGCAGTCGTATATAAATCGTATTGTACTGTTCATCGTGATTGTAACATAATATCCTGTAATGCTAGATATTTAATACTAAATATGTATGATAAAAAGTCATTTGAAATATCGGTTATTTTCAAGGATATAGGCCTCGTGGGTTGCTCATAAGATAATGAAGCTAAGAATGAGATTTTCGGTTATTTTGTTGCACTCAAACCACTGTGGTAAGTATTTGAAAAAATATTTTGGAATGACGAAACTCCTTTTAGGACAAGTGCAGGTTATTTACATAGAAAAACAAATTATGGGGGCGGCAACCTTGCAGGTATTGATTTGGATTGAATCTTATTTTTTTGGAATCCGTTAGTGTATTTTATTCCTTTTACTGAAAATTATACTGAAAAATACTTTCTGTGAGTGAGGGGCTACATTTCAATCACTAATAAAGCTTGCAACACTGATTAAAAAAAGAGAACTATCTTCATTCTACTCATCTTCTATACAATTCAAAGCTATGCTCTCTCTAAAAATTGTCAATTACAAAGTAAAAAATTAGCATAATTATAATGTTTTTATTTGTCACTTATGTAGCTCATTGAAACGTGAACAAAATATTCAGCATTCATGCAGATAGGAAATATAATTCAAATCAGACTGTTTATTGAGAATTATAAATCGATATTTTAGCAAGACGAATTAAGCAATTAGTTATTTCATGTTTTATCTGACTATTGTTTCAAAAATAATGTAATTTAGATTACAGTATTGATAGTCTGAGTACCAAATTGCTGATGTTACATTATTTCATTTTAAATATGCAGAGACTTTTAAGATGATAACATTTTATTTATTGTATTTCACAATCCATCATTGACATCATTAAACAGTCTTCAGAGAACTAATATCTGATACAAATATCCTCTGACTGAGGTTCCAAAATGTTAAAACATCTAACATAGGAAATTCATGAGATAAAATAATGATATCGGTAGTAGTGAAAATTCGATATAAACAGTCCATTTGACAATGAACGAATAAATTAGGAAGATAAGACATGTAAAGTGGTATTTCTCAAATTAAATATCTAAGCAAATTACTTAGTCAGTAACCATAGATTAGGATAGTCTCCCTGACTTCAACCAGGAAATTTGTATCAATAGACTGCTTAATTCAATATTAGGCGACTTGATGAGTAGTGAGTTTAAATTTTAAAAAAACATATTTTTTAAAGAATAACGCTGCTTTTTAAAGAAATAAAAGATTGTAAGGAAATTGAGACATGACGAATTTACAAAAAAACCGAAACTTAATTACCTGTACATCAAGTTCCAACAATCCACAGTTTGGATTTTTTAGAATACCCGTTAAAATAGCATAGCAACCAGCAGTTTGCATTGGATTTCTTGACATCTGAAAAATTAGATTGTTTCCAAAATTTCAAATTGTTCGAAATACAAACAAAAAGTCAATTTGCAGGAATTTTCGTCCAGATTTGAAGAAATAGTTTCAAAATATTCAGTTACTTAGTTAACGAAAGGCACTAAAAAGAAATCGTATCTGTAAAATTCTCAGGGATTGAAGTTAAGAATAATTCTATTATTCTATTTGGCAGTTCAATCCAAGCTTCAGGGAAATAATCAAAACTCGGATCACACTGCAAAGTGAGAGATATTTTTAATTTTGGTCCCTGATATTTTTAAAATATATTTTGCCTCTTAAGAAAACATTAGATAAATTGAGTTAATCCTAGAGATTTGTTCGATTTATAAACACAATTGTATTATCTCAGTGATTAGATGTCACCTGGTGGATTTCGATTTTGTAATGGAATCTCTGTAAATCTTGTAATCATGGCTGTGTAATAACATAAATTTTCTGGTTAAGAGAAATCTAATGTGTAATGGGATATGGGTTATAATGAATATCGGTGTCATATTAGCTTATGAGGATAAGTTATCATAAATTAGAATTGCCTTAGCTAAAAAGTACATGACCTAATGCAACAATTCACCTGGTTGACGTGTAGTGTTACACCCTGGTGAAGATTAAGGTACGTGTAACTTCCAGAATATATTAATGGACTATTATTCTATACATACTGTCATTGCATGATTATTCAGTGATTATATATATATATATATATATATATATATATATATATATATATATATATATATATGTTCATCTTATTATAAGCTTCATTTTGACTTATGGGTTATTATTATACGATTTACTGTCCCTAAATTATATTCGGTTTATTGATTACCGTCTCCCACATTCACAGCCACATTTGGCTTGATCTTGTACAAATATTATTTTCTATTTTATGGTGTGATGCGGTCTGTCTATCTGGTATATAAATCGAGTATGCTTGAAATAAATGATTTGCATAACAGAAGCTGTTATTGGTGTTCTGAACTCAACTGGAAGGGCTAGGCGGACAGAGGACCAATGACGACGCTAGGCTGTTCATACTGGTGGGACGTCATTGATTTGGTACAGTGCTAAGATTGGATAAGTCGTATTCCGATTGGTGACTAAACCATATGATAAAAAGCAGTGCTTAAATTCAAAACATACGGTACATTTTAAAATTGGATCACAACAACGATGTACATGTATAATGAAAGTTCCTGAATTATCTACTTTTTTCTTCAATGTATGCCGTTGTAAGTCATCATAATCTGATTTTTTTTTGAAAAACGAATTGATAACAGGAGATCCATGAAAATGGATAGTCAAATGCACAGCCACCTGTAATATACGTGTATGCTACAGGAGCGAAATACGAGTGAAGTAATTCCAAGCACCAAAAAATTAAAAGTCACATCTTGTTATTGTGTTTGCCTTGTGTTTCAGAAGAAAACTATATATATATATATATATATATATATATGCATTCATCGTTTTCCTCAAAACTAAAAAGCCCTTAATTTGATGTTAGTTGACAGCAATCACTAAAGAAGGCTATTAAAGGTATTTGTATTTTTCAGTTCTTTCTACAGATTACTCTCAACCTGCTGAAGCCTTTTGTTTTAATTCCTGTTCATTTTTTCACTACAAATTAGACCACTGTATTTCAACCTAATTATTTCAAGGTAACAAATTAGTTTCAAATTCAGTTGTCAATTTCGATCTCCAACGACGTTATGAGTTCACAAACTAGGACTAAAAAGTTGTTTGGTGATCCCGCCTTTCAATAGTAATTTGGTTGTCATCACTTAACGAGGAAAAGCAATGTCAATTACGGTAAACCCCTTTATCAATTTATAAAATATTTCTTTTGTGCATATCGCTTCTCTAGATCCCAAAAATAAATTAGGTTTGAAAAGAATGACTGTATTTGAAGAATTTAGATCTATCTTATACTGTATATTACTTGAGATAAACATAACAAAGTAGATATCAACCATACATAATGTGAAGGTAAGCCGAAAAAAACATAATTCATAAAGCCTTTAACTTATGCAGGCTACCAAGTTCATGGTATTTCATTTTATGTTAAAAAGTTATCATACACGATAAAGTTTCCAGGTTGACTCAGTAATAAGGCAGTTTACCTTTTTCATGTTACCTTATTTTTACTACCATTTTATCGATTAAATAATTTGACTAATTAAATAGGAGTATAACTTTCTTACAATTTACAATGCCTGAAAACACAAAAATTCATTGCATTTTTGTCGATATTAAAGACTGGAAAGTTATTTTTGACTGTTGTGTTATTTTTCATGATTTTAAATTAGATATTTTATTTGCGATTAACGCTAGGGACTAAAACAACCACAATTACGTGGATCATGGTACAAATCCACATTAAAAAACTGATCTCAGTGACCTTATTTCTCATAAAATCTGATAAAACAAGTGTACAACATGTTATACAACCCTGTAGCTGACATTGTTTGTTATAGTTATACTTTACTGATAAATTAACACAGCCACGTCTTGTAGAGTAGAAGAAAGCTGATCTTCTGAAGTTCTGTCAAGCTACAAAAATTCATCTTTTATTCGGCTGAACAAAAAGTGGAATCTGTTGCTCTCTTATCTTTGACAGAGCTCTACTAAAGAAAAAAGTACTTTACGCAGATATCTTTTTGAAATGAATCAGTCATTATACTACTTCACTGAGGTCTTATCTGAATTTCTTAATGTAAACCATTGTGAATTTCAAGATTTTCTACTGGAGATTATTAGCCTTATATTTTTCTATATTTTACTGTTACAAACATTTTAAACATCATAGTCGTTCATAACCACTATATTTTGTCTCTGAGATGTTTCGTTCTACTACATGGAATAATTATTCATGAAGCTTTAATTGTCTTCCCTAGAGAAACCCATCAGTAAATACTTTAGAAAGAATTGATTTATGTTCTGCTGTATGGATAATTAGTCAGTCACCATGGGGGATACTAGTTCAAGAAGATAGAGTATAAATATATCTATGAACGAATTCTGGGGCTCAAGATCTGTACCTAGATAAGTAGTTAGTTCATCTAAGCCATATCACTCAACGTTTTCAATCACTGATCTTGATTATTGCGCAGAATCCTATCAGATAGTCTGCATCTGGCAACATGGCTCAAACCAACAGTCAATAATTCCATGAACTTATTCCATTTCCTAATTTGGTCACCCCTATTATTATTTCAACCTACTTCTGATATGTACTAAATTATTATGCAATAGTGTATATAAAGATAACGATAATAATTACTAAAACATTCTTGTAATAGGTTTTGTCGGGATGTAAACACCGGTTAGTTTATAAAAAAGATCAGTTATAAAAACTCACTCGTAAACAAGTTAACGTTGAGTTCACATAGAAGCCTTTACTCAACAATACAGAACCTTCTGGATTTATCCTATTATCCCTATTTTTTTTAAAAAAAGATGGAAGGTTGTCACAGAAGAATAATTATTTTATTAGAATAATACGTTCAGGCTTAACAGTAAACATAAAGGCATCTTCATTTTCTCTATTAATTTATCATTATGTATGTGTACTTGGTTGTGTCATCAGTGTTAACACGGTACTGAGGACTGGGTATTATAAATGAAAAACACTAGAAAAAACAGATTTATTTGAATAATGCCATGAGAAGAAAAATTTAATCTCATCGCATTATCCTAATTTATTAAAGGGACTAATTGTCTTAACAATTGGATCATTGTTTTTTGAATGAGTGTAGAAAGAAAGATTTATTATTAATGTTTGTAATTTTTATATACGACCAAGGTATTTCTTCTATAATCAACAGATAAAACAGCTATTTCCGAAATACTGCATTAAGTTTACCGAATGTAATTCAGTGTGTATTTAAAATAATGAACAAGGATGCCATCACTCAAGGTCATCAAAACACTTCCCATTGACCGAGTGAATGACTGACGTTATTTCATCTAACTTGTTATACATGCATTAACAACTGTACATAGTCATTTCAACCAAATTAAATTAACTAAAAGCGATTTCGAAATTCCATAGCTATTTAAGGTCTATTACCAACCAACTGAGCGTTTCCAAATTTATCATCTTTTTAACATCTATTTTGACTATTTTTTATTTATGTATAAATTCATTAATAAACCAGTAAAGTACAGAAAAATATTTCATCTATATGATCATCAAAATATCCATAGATATTCAGTTTTGTAACTAGACTGGGTTTGTACAAGGCTGTGAAGAAAACATAATACTCTGAGAAATCATAAGTACTTTCAATAGTCTACAGCTTAATTAAGTTAATGTTGAGTACTTTTAGCAAGATGACTAGACAGAGGGAGAAGACAAACTATATAAAAAAGCAGGTTAACTGATAGTATTATGCTGACAATTTACCTATATTCAAAAGTGAGCACAATCATAAAAATAATATGAATGTCAGTTTTCAGCTCAATAAACAGTCGATTTGATCATAACATCTTATTCATAAACCTATAATACTAATAATAATAACTGAATACACTTCTGTGACTTATTTTATGACTTCATTGAATTCAGTCTAGTGTTTAATGATTACAAAAACGAAGGTAATTATTTTAAATTACTATTAACACTTTCCTTTGGCATTGAATCAATCGTAAACTAGTGATATCGTAGTAGTATATACATAAAACTAGTTTGTACTACTCAATAAACAACAAATCAATAAAAAAACGTAAATGCATTGTAGGCAGATTAAAATTTTATACTCACTGAGTTTATATTATTTTGCAATTATTATTTACAAATAGGGAATATAAAACTTAAACCCAAAGACATCCTTTACTCCAAGGTAATTAATTTAATGAATAATATACTTGCAAAGAGTCATTTTTAACTTTCATTAACTTATAAACTAGTTGAAAATAGAGATATGTACCGGTCAGCAAGTTCATCAGTAATAACTTCAAAATACTAATTTTCTATGATTAATGATATATGATTTTAATTGTGAATAGTGACTAAATGTTAAATTGAAACTTAATTGTCAATGAACGGACACCAGTCTAAAACGTAAAACATAATTTAGCCAAACTTTGAAATATCAAAAGTAATTATTCAGAATAAATTCGGTGGTTGTTGACGTTGGATAATAAATCTCAGAATCAGTCAAAATAGTCCGGATACATTTAAACTTTATCTTCCTTTGAATCTTGGTTTTTCAAAATTATTCTATGCACTTTATTTTATGAACTAACTCTTTCCGTGCAAATTTTATTCTGTCTACTTTATTTTTCTCTCTATCACTGGTACGTCTATTACTTTGCCATTCATCTTGATATGTTCATTTCGCTGTGATGATGATGTGTTAAAAATTAGCTCGATATATATATATATATATATATATATATATATATATATATATATCAGTCTCTACATCGACCATGACAGAATGACATAACATCTACATCGTTTAGTTAAAAACAACTTAAATTCTGGAACGAAAATTCATTGATAGAAGTTACTACACTTAGTATTAGAACATAGTGAGTATACCACTTACATAGAGACATGATATAAACTTCAATAATAATTCATCAAAAACAGGTAAGAAATGGAAATATTTAACAATATGAAATCAATAGATTCACTTACCTTAAATCTAATGTTTCTAGTGTGACATTATTTCTTAATGCATAAGCTAAATCTGTACATCCTTTCTTTGGACCGATTCCATTGGCAGATAAGTTCAGATGTTTCAAATAAATATTTTCCTGTAAAGTAATTAGTATTGACAATTCGTTATTCATAAAATTCCAAAATAATTTTTCTAGAATTGTGATCTCATTTTCCAAAGTACACTTAAACACTAGGCCACTGAGCTGGAATTCAGATATTATCAAATGTTGTTCAACAATCTGTAAAGCGGATGTTATATTTAATGGAACATTTGTGGGTACCATCTATATTTATTTACTGAATACGTTTTACCGGCCTTACTAATGTATCTAAGGAACAGAAAATTGTGAATTCGTATTGAACTGACAGAAATACGAATATAACTGGTTTTCAATAATGAATAGTAAATGATTAGAAGTAAAGCCACAATACCTTATCACGTTTGACATAATAATGGAAAAGGTTCAGTCTCCTGTATAACTATGGAGGCCAACTATCAATGAGCTTTAACTAGGAAGACATAGTAGAATCGTTCTCTAGGCTTTTTTAAGGTTATTGAGCTAACTTCAGTTAGTTCTTTCGAAGCATTTATAAATGTTTGCGAAACTATTTTAAAAATTATTAACTTATTACTTAGTAAAATATGTAAGATTCATTAAAAGAATACAAGCAGATGACATTCAGTGTATGTTGCTCTTGAAAGCAAACAAAATATCATCCACCGCTAAACTATGGAGAAAAAATACATTTTTCCTTGTTGGTCTAAGGCTAACTAACTGATATATTTTCCTAAGATACAACATTGAACCAGAGTTCATGACACCGTGTATTAGTCAACATATCGGTTAAAAAATTAGCTGTTTATCATTTAGAAACAGTAGGAGAAAGTTACGGTGTCGTAATAATAAAAATCGACTTTGCTTGTTAGTTACTCACACAGGTTACCACTGAAGTTCTCTCACAGCTTAAAATGAAGGCTATGAGTCACATCATGAAGAAGAATTATTGATTGCGACTGTTAGGAAGACGCGAGTATGTGACTCAGTAATTTGCTTTTCTATCAGATGATGCAATTAAATCTGTTAATGGTGTGAATGGCGTGCACACATTCAGTTATTAATTAATGCATATCAACTATTACCTTATCCGATACATTCGAATTTGCATGTTGACCCGACAAGAAAATCATACATAATTCAATGTAAATTTGTCAAGGTTTCGAATCAGTGGTTGATTATTTCTGTGCTTATGGTTAGGGAATAAGTAAATTCTTATCTCCAATCTTGCTTTTTTCCATATATTGTACAGTATCAGACTTTGTCTCGTTATTTAGTAAAAAGATAACTTGTTGTGTCCGCAGGATATTACCAAATAACCATACCAGTATTTTATCGAGTTACAACAGTGATTGCTTCAAAAGCTTCAAATATTAATAAGTTGGCTAATCAGTTCTCTTCAAGCTAAGAATGATATGATGAATAATTTTAAATTTTAATGAGAATGACTTTTAACGCTTTTAAGAACTCCATTTCGTTATATCTAAACAAAGTTATCAATACAAATTTCTATTAAAAACGTACACACAATAATATGACAAGCGAATTTTAATTGATCGCAAGTAACTCTTATTGATCCATATGATCAGGTAGTTTGAAAGTTAGGGTCAATTTCATAATTGATTTTCATTGATTGTTAGGCATATATATATATATATATATAATAAATAATAAATAAAGCTGATCTATGAAATTTTATTAACATAAGAGACTAGTAAAATGTTATATATATATATATATATATATATATATATATATAACATTTTACTTTATCAATAATACTAGTAATGCTGTTAGTTACAGAAGTAAAACCTTGGAAAGACAAATACAGGATATATCTTTATCTGTTATAGAATTTATGTTTATCAGGTCAGTTTATAAACTGTTCTAACTAGAAACCAAAAACTTAATAAATTGTCCGTTTTATTTTGTTCTTTGAATAAAATATTCAAGTCTACTATTTCGTGAACTCTCAGATGTTCAAAAACACCAACAATTGAACACCTAAAGTAAATGATTATTGTGAAATGACCATTGTTGGACCGATCTAGTCTCTTATGTTAATAAAATTTCATAGATCAGCTTTATTTATTATTTATTTAAACACATAAATATTGGTACAAAAAAGCACCAGATAAATATGCGCCTCACAAATCTCATTCGATTTGTGTGAGGGCTGTGATACTGCCCAGGTGCCCAGACTGAAGCAGGTGGTTTTCTTAGGGGGCCACACCCGGAGCCTTTGACCTAAATGTCTGATCCACAAGGCAGTGGAGCATCGTGAAGAGATGCAGTCCCATGGTAGCCGGTGATCAACGGTTGATTCGTACGCCATTTGTTCCCTCAGGATACTGGAGCCCATGTGCACCACTGGTTTGGAATCAGGGTTTTCCAACTCCCTTAGGTGGACCCTCCGTGTCCCCCAACCCGGTTAAAGCGCCGGACATTCGCTTTTCGTCCTCTCACTTTCGTAAACAACACCCCATCCACGAGAAGGCAGTGAGTAGGACTTCCCTGGCAGAGGCTATATATTCGCTGGCCATATGAGAGCATTTCGAGAGTGACTCTCCCCACTCTCGGCCGTACCAAGGCATTTGGGGGCACAGATCAGATCGCGATACGACTACTTGTCTGCGTTTTAATAGCAAATGCACTATGTGATAATGTTTGATGATTTATGGCAGTCGGTAGGAAATCTGGAACTAAGGGTTTCTGCTTGTTGGAACTTGTCAGTACGGCGTATAAGTAGTCTCAAAAGAACCGATGTCTATCGCTGGATTCAAACCCATATCATTCAGTGTCATAGTAATATACTTTAGTCCTGAGTTATTGAGGCCACCTTGGTGCCCTTTGGATCAAAGTTCTAGGACCATGATATCCTACCGTTTCCTTCCAGTCAACTTACATGGAATCTCTAGCTTACACATTATTTAGAAAGCATATCAAAGATCTTGCAGAAAATGAGATATCCTTAGTTATTTTGATTTTAGAAGTTAGGTGTTTGTAAGGAGGAATAAATAATCAACTACAGTCACTCGATGAATAAAAAATACCGTTAAAATCACTAAATTGAGATTGTTTCACCCAACTATACTTATCACAAATTAGAATGACAACAAATGAAAATTTGACAGCGAAATAAATTGAACTTACAGCTAGACCTTTGCCAAAAATGTTCATTTTTCCCCTTCCCAATCTATTCCAACTTAAGTCGAATTCTATTAACGTCATCGCTTGTGGCAACGCTCTTCCAATATATTGACAAGATAATTCACCCAAATCATTATAAGAAATATTCATATATTTCAATTTTCGCGTGGTCTAAAGTCAATTTTTTTAATGCAATCTTATAAAAAGTACAATAAAGGTTCAAGTTCTAGCAGTTAAGCGTAAAACGTAAGTTAAGGTCACTAAAGTTATATTTTTCCTTTACCAAACACTTATAGATTCATTGGATCAAATAAGGATAAAAGTTTTTGGGTCATTTATCTTTCTTACTCAAATAAATTAGACTCCAAGATAACCTACTAATTTTCACGTTAATCAGTGGCAGTCGTTAAGAATCAGAATTAAATAGGGAGCGTGACTAACTTTGAATAACTGTATGTCTTTTACAAGCCAATATTTTACTAACAGAATAAGGATAAAATACAATGAACAATAAGTGTAGCGAAACTACACACTACTTCGAAGAACCAATAATCCATAAAACATTAGTTCTTAATGCAGCTGCAACCAGGTATTTTTCAATTTTGCTTATTATTTTTGCAGACTACTATTTAGTGATTAGTAATATAATAAAAACGAAGATGGTAAATTATCATACATAAAGAAATAACAAAAAAGTATTTGGGCACAATTTAGATAAAACTTGTTTACTTCAGCGGCTTCATTACTGGTCTCAAAAGATACTGTTAGTTCTTGCTTGTCGATGATAATACATAAGATGTTGGTTGGAGGTAGTCGACAGGAAACCCTGAACCTAGGTTTCGTTTCGGACCTGACACATATGACGTTGATCACCACCCAGTGATCAATCAATTGTAAAATGATAATACATCAAATACATAAGTTTGGAACTGACCACTTTTCATATAAGCGTAATGGAAATTGTGAAATTTTTCAGTTTAAGTCAATTGCTGATTTCAGCTGGACCGCCACTGAAAGCATAGAACTGTAGTCTCATCCTAGAATAGGACCCCCAGCAGTACATGTTCACAACCTTCATCCAGGTAACGACTCCAGAACCCTTAATCTTCCAGGCGAACACTTAACCTCCAGACCAGTGAGTCTGCATCCAATGGTGTTGATGTCTAACTCCAGTCGATTTATGTTATTTTTATTAAACACCAAGTAAGAGTTTGAACTTTCCAACACCTGTAATTTTTAAACACGACTTTAATAAATTTGGAATAATCAGAAATCTAGTCATATCTAAAAGGCTAATCATATTTTGATTAGCTTGACATCAGTGGTTCAAAGTGAAGTGCTAAAAGATAGTGACTCGAATATTACAAAGTTCTACATCTGCCTTATGAGGAAATAGAATTTTATGACTAGATTTGAAGGTTGTTTTTCAGTTTACTTGATCAAATGGCACTAAGTACAGTAAATTATCATATCATTGCTTTAACCACAAATAAAAGCTTGAATGATTTTATCAAAAAAGTTAATAATTATGTGATTCAATTAAACATGAATATTCACTTACCGTAATCAATTCTGAAAAAAATTTTCCTGCAATATCATCGAATAAATTTTTCCTTAAATTTAGTTGCAATAGTTCTGTTGATGATGCGAGTGTTTCACAAAGGTATTCAGCTGATTTGGAAGTTAGGTGATTTTCAGATAAATTTAGATTAGTTATAAATGTATTCTCTCGAAGCATATGACATAAATGATTAATACACTAAAAATCGAGACAGCAATACAAGACAATAAATGTTAATCACTTGGATCAGTAAAAACGAAGCTAAATTAAAAATTAACCGTGGTCAGTAATTCAAACTGATGTGATGAATAGAATACAGCTTAATAGTCAGGTCTTAGTTTTAATGCTGGTGATTTACTTTACTAATATCGTTCAATCGTTTACAACATCCAATCATGTGAGTTTTCCAGCGAATATATTATTAAAGACTCGTTGTTTTATTACATAAAAACCCTCTCATCTGGTCAGTAGTCGTGGCATTAGTCTCAGTTGATTTGTGACATTTGATTGGTAGTTTAATATCATCAACAGTTATCCATCTGTCATATTGTGTGATTGCATTCTGTTTATGGATCAGCATCCGACACATTCATCTTAAATGACTTCAAACTATCTAACGTTCATCACTTCATGACTGATGACAAATGTACTGAATCAAAGATGATATTGTAAAAAATACATTTTAAGATCAAACGGCTGGAACTGAAAAGTATTGTTACTCATGAGAACTGGTGTATATACTAAAATGAAAGTATATTTCATTATGCTACTCAACTCAAGTACTTATGGGGATTAGGTAACAATATTTGAAAGAACGTTTTCTTTGTTGATATTTGTACTTCCAAAACAGAACTAATTTGTACCATTTAGATTTATTCTGAAGTTCGCTATTTAAAAATCTTAATTCTAATTGGTCGTTAAAATATTATGATGGTAAAGAAACGTATATTTTGTCTCATTAAAATTTTCATAAACCTTGCAAACAGAAAAAGAAATGTCTTTTAGATATGCACATGTATTTTTGCGAAACAAGTCCAGTAATTCAACTGTTGTAACTAATAATCAGTTTAAAATGAACTGCTTTTGTTTAAAACGTTTTTTGAACCTCCAGTATAGGATGATAGTATATTTGAAAAAACGAAAACTAGTATTCATACAGTTAGAAAGTGTGATTTTCGAAAGAATACAGGTTGGTATAACCAGTTGAAAAACTACTTCAAATTATAATTCCTAAGACAGCATATGTTTAAAAAACTGGTTGTTGTGGAAATAAACATTAGACAGGTGACATCGGATGATATGGTGTCTTAGATTATCTGAGTCAAAAATGAGTGTGTCTGTTATAAGTTATATTCATCTTTATACAGGTTCATAGAAATGTACTGAAACTTTAATTAAACGTCAATTTACTAATTAATACTTACGAATAATCTTTAAAATAAATGATGAGGTAGAGCTAAATAGAATATTTTTTGAAAAAAGATGTCCACTTGAATAGTGATTAGGTCATTAACTTAAAAATAATGATGTATATATAAAATTTGTCATAAGAACTGGTGTCAGCAATTTAAAAAAAATATAATTCAATGGCTTGAGTATACTTAATAAAGACTATGGTGAAAAATGGTACCCACAGTGTCTATACTGTTCTGTGAATCGATGAACGGTTTTGAAGAAATAACGAATAACTCAATCTTTTTAAACTGAATTTCGATCTACAGGTTTTATACTGATCATTTTTGTAATGTATGTAGCATGAAGAGTGTGAATTGGTGACTCTGACTTCAGTTAACGATAAAAGTGAACTGAATAAACAGTGCAACTACTAAAAAAGTGAAAAGCCATGGGGATGTGAAGTCACATTATCATGAGAAATGTATTAACTTATCATCCAAACCAGAGTTTGTGGAAAAAAATCATTCTTAACTTACTCTCCAAATTTACCTTAATAACTGAACAACAATTAAATGATGAAAGATCCGAGGAACACGAATCAAGTATTACCTACCCGATTGAAAACTGACTAGTGTACAGGTTTTTTTCGGAAAATACTTAAATCTCTCGACTAAGCTTGTTCTTTCAATTCCATCAACCAAAATTCTCTCTCACCCTGGTACACTTAAATCAACAGTACTCACCGTATGGTCCTCCCATAAATGACCATCTGCGACTAAACACTCAGAGCCCACCTATATCTCTTAATTTTATGGACTAGAATCCATAGTCAAGGAGTGATTAGAAGGCTACCGTTAAGTTTATCCTCACATTAGTTGAAAGACGAAATTTCAACTACGCTACAGGTCCCAAACGTTGTTTAAATTCAGGTAAACCCATTGAGTCGTCCCTGAGATTTAGTTGAAAACCAAACCAATAGCGCAATTGACATTTCCAAGATAAATAGATGAGTCAGTGTACACTGATGGCTGTCAAAGGGTTAGAAGTGTCCAGATAATGGTGATTCATTACAACAGGAGGACGGAGACTGTACGTCAAAGCCGAGTGGGAAGACATGATTTACCTGATTAAGGTCCTTGAAATACATTCAGTTTTTGGTTTCAGACCTCAACTAACTTAAGCCAGAAATGATCGCGGAAGCTTTGTTGGATTGGACAATAATATTTTTGTATCTAAGATTCAGTCAGTCTTACAGGAAGTCTTGACACTGAATGTTGTTAGTGAAAAGAATGTCTTAATAGTGAGGTTTTTAGAATCATATTAATTAACTTTAAACAGGTATGAAAATTCTACTCTAAACTTATGGTTGCTTTATTCATTTTGTCATTACCAATGCAGAGTCTGTAAAAGATATAAGCTGGCTTAACTTTTAAAACGTGATTGGCATGACGAGATTAAAACAGGAAACAGGGTCAAACTGATTTAGTAGCGATGGTAAGAGGAAAGACCAACCGTTGGTAATATAGTTTGAAAATACAGAGTTAAAGCGTATGTATAAGTGAATACGGGAATCAAAGATTGTGATGATGACAAACAGCGAATACATCTTTCCCACTATGGACCACCGTGAATTATGTCAACCACAGTTTTTAACCACTGATCACGGTCATTGCTCAGATTTCAATCAAGTCTATTAATGTTTGTCAACGTTGCTCACATCAACGGTGATATAGTCTTCATGAACTGCTGTCATATTTTGATTTGACCACTCCTAGCTTTCATCCACTTTTTCCTATATTAGAAAATGTCTCATCAACCGGTTCGAAGCTCAATGATTGCTTACGTAGTTGCCCGAGGTATACATGGGCAATACTTCAGAAAAACCTATGGTCGAATACTAGTGACCTACAAATATTCTTTGTTCTTAACGATCATGTTTCAAACCCATAAAGTGGAACTGAGCAAACTACTGGGTAATAAACTGGTCCTTTGATTGGAAGGCAGATATTTCACTTACTTTACGGATACAAGTTGACAAATAGCAGTTGTTTTTTTTATTTTGTGTTAACATTTCACAGACACTAACCAACTGAGGCTGATCAGACTTCCAAAATTAGCGAAGTGGTCGATTTACCAAACTACTTCATTCCTTATCCTTAGTTAAAGGGTTGGTGAACACCAATTCTGAAGCAAACGTTTACATGTAAACACAGAGGAAAACATCTCAAGCATGACAGTATTTTCGCCCAAAGTGATTCAAAACCTCTGTATTCTTTTCAGCTTCTTTTACAAACAGGACTATATTACCAGCGCATTTTTATTCTATGATCAAACCCCCGTGTATATGATAAAACCTTGAAAAACTTGGCAAAAAGTGTTGCGTTTTCAGCAAGACATCAATGAATTAAAAAATAGGATAGTAGGCAACCGCAATAAACGCCACTTGAGGTTAAGATTTTTGCAAACAGCTGGCGATTAGCTCTGAATTAGTCAATAGCATCTAGATAGAGATCCTTCACAAGGTTTATTACGTTCTTTTTGGGCTTTTTAACTACAAACACTGCCATGAAACCCTTTGTTCAATAGAGTCACGCTCCGTTCAAATGAGAAAGTATCCATTTCCTTAAAATCTAACGATTCCTTCACATTTCCACGAAAAACATGACATTTGTTCCCCCTGTTACTTAACATGAGTATACTGCCTGAATCAACCAGTGCATTTGTTCCTGTGTGGGCTAATAACTTTGTAGAAGTTTTAGATACATCAAGTTGAATAATCTAGTGTCAAGAACTTAAAAGTTACTAGTGCGAAAGTTGTCATAATACTGTTTTGGTATAAGGTTTTTCATTACAAAAGACTGAATATGTAAAAATAGCCAGAGCTGAAGATGCCACAGGAATTGTACTTGACAACACTTTACCAGTACCACTTTTTATAACTGAATCGCGCCCACCCAGTGGTTATCAATATATCGAAGAGTGACTGATCTAAACTGGCCAGTGATCGCAAGAGACGTTGAGCATGCCGTTCCAAACCGTGATCTATTGCGGATTCATGACCGAGCGCCTTCAGCTAGGTAAGTCCATTAAAACTAATGTGGTCAGCATCGGATGTCGAACACTTACAGAGGTACTGATTTTGGGGATTTATTTACAGCTACAAAGCCATAAAATATCGTGATTTATTTGCAAGACATTTCACGGCTTTATTTAAGATATGTTCGAGTCCAGTTCCAAATAAATAAAAAAACAGATTCAATGCATAAAAGCTGGAAATAAAGTCACGCATAATAGACTTAACAATCATTGTTAGGAAAGATATGACTGACCATCTAGCTTATATGTAATTCTCGGGAGAAAAATGACAACGTGGTTTTCCTTAGAAATCTAACGAGGAATTATAGCAGAAGTTCCCTAAATTTGGAGCACCAGCATCCTTTTCATCGTACAAGGACAACACTGAGAAAACTGCAGGTTCAAAACAAAAGTAGTGGTTTCATAATGTGTAACATATGAGTATTTGCAAAGGCGAGTTGCTTAAAAGAACAAGGAAAATGGTTTGCAAACAATCTTTCAAACTACTTAAAAATCGCCATACACGTCTCGGCACGGTTATACTGTGGTACCTTAAATACAGGAAGAGTGCAACAAGGCCTATGAACTTAACCGAAACAAACATTTGGAAGAGATATTTTAAAATTTCCCACTGAAGTTGATATGACAACTATTTTTACTCATCAAACTTGTGTTAAACATGCTTGTGCAGCATCATTACCTCATCGTCAAGACAGGAGTTGGTAAGATCCAGTTGTGTTATATTCAAGCTGTTTGAAATACTGGAAAAAATTGGCTTGAGTTTTTTAAGTCCTAAAACACTATATTTCAGGCTTAGGCTTTCGTCCTTCAGATGTCGAACAAAGTACCCTGAGGGCAAAGCTCCACGTAACCTGCAATCATTTAGGTATTCTAATTGATCTGGGTCAGTATACCAGTGATCTATATTTCAGAAACTTTTAGGTAAATATATCTAACAACGTCACCTTTTGCTGACAAAAGCCTTTTGCATCTTTTTATATGTGAATTGCCCGTCACCTTCGACTGCTCTTTTCTTCTGAATCTATCTTTCATTGTGTTGGCAAAATTTGTACTGTCATCCTGATCCATAAAAATGGGAGTACTAGGAACAACAGTATTTTCATCTTTCTGTCCGATAGGATGTTCTTCTTGATCTTGTTCGTTTATTTCCATTGACATATGTTATCAAAGTAATAAACTTCTAATGACAGTATGTGAAAGATACGAGCATTAGTCCAATCTGAGACGTAAAAATGAAAGCGAAAACATAAAAGAAAGTCAAATATTTGACATTAATTGCTATGACATTATCGTTCTAAACAAAATAGCCTTTATTTGTTTATCAAACAATTCACCAATTTTTTTATTTTACTTTTATTTATTCTTTAATAACTAACAACATAATTTTATAAGTTTGGCAACCATTCAAAATATTCGGTGCATCATTCTAAAATGTTTAGTTTATGGAAGCTGTTTAATGAATCGATTTAATGAAAAATATAAGCAGTGCATCCGGGGATGAAATAGAACAAGAACCTTTATGTAGCACAAGTTCGAAGAAGAGTGGCTTTGTCTATGTTCGTATTAATACCCCTTCGCAGTTAAAAGATGTATATGAAATTGGTCCAGTTCTGGGTGAAGGTACATTCGGCATTGTTTATCATGCTTTGAGAAAAACCGATGCTATGAAATGTGCAATTAAGAAAGTAAGTGCGGCAAAAAGCCGATATTTTTGTTTGCCGTATTTTGTATGCATACATATGTTTTTGATTATATGTAAGTCGTTGCTAGTCTGTTTTGCATCAAAACCTAACTTGCAATTCCACCTGACTTTTGAAAAGTATGTACGTGATGCTTATATATGGAAATATAGTGTGACAAGTCACTAATCACGCAATTGTAAAGCATACCAGTCAACAGTTATCCTGAAATATATATGACCATATGAAGCCGCACATATGTTCATATAATCTGGGATTTCTTTCATTAGTCATTAAAGGGTTCACGTTCGCGTGATAAAAAAGTCAGTTTGTTCCAAATACTTGTTTTCTACGCCTATGACACATTTTTATTCAGTGGAATATTACCATTTATATAGGCTTCCACAAAAAACCTCTATTAACTTGGAACTTCGAGCAAATTATATCTTTTATTTCAATATGTAGTGTTGTTGCGTTTCTATATCGATTTATAAATCAACACCAAAACATATATGAATAAATCAATTACCCCAACACAGCACAACATCTTCAGCACTAATAATCTCCGAGGTCATAGCAAGAAGGTTCTGAAACCGTGATCTAATAAACAAAAGGTGGGGTCCCGTTTTTTTCATCAAGTGGTCAATGACTGGAACGCTTTACCAGAACAAGTGGTATCAGCACCATCAGTGAACACTTTCAAGAATAAGCTGGACCTTCACTGGAAGGAATTCTGTCAGGATTAACACAGGTTCATCAACCTACTATCCTTATTGCTGAAGACTGAAATACGTCATTAACTCGAATGTACAATACTACTGAACCTATAAACATTAATTGTTTGATTTTTATTTCATGTTTACGAATGATTGCTCATAAAAATAAATTTTCATGTAGTAAAGCTGGACATGATATGTAAAAACCAACAGTTAATAAAAAGAAACGCTGTAGTATGAAGATCTTTTATATGATGTCAAACTAATTTTCTTTTCAGAAAGACTTGGGAGTTTTTGTCGACGATCTTTAAGATACCAATTGAACTTTGCATAAACCGCTCGTCTTTTGCTTGAGCACGGTTAGTCCTATGTGAATCAGGATAAAATTTAAACCTTTCTTCACAGAGCGATTGAAAAACTCGCTCCAAATGGCTACAATTTTCCAAATTATCACCAGTTTGGTGACTCGTTTGTTTTATACCACTTAAGCAAGTGAGATAATAAAAAATTTAATAAGTTTCAGCCTTTTGCACACAATTGAGGCCAATTTCCATCAAACGTGAACTGTGTGACCATCATTGTGACACCACCACAAACGTTTTACCATTAGTAAGATTATCTGGGAAAAGACATGTATTACAGGCTTGACATAGACTTACACCACTTAATATCAATTATTATGGAGTTTTATTGTGGTAAAACTGGCTTTCTGACTAATTGTAAGGAGACGTTTTTCAAATTTCGACGACTTTGGACGTTAAGTTGCATCATTCGATCACTGGTAGCTCATAAAGTTGCTACGCATTTATCTTATTTTTTAATCCGGCATGTTTCCCTGATTTGTCTCTTAAAGACTATCTTGGGGAATAAATGTTATCTAACTAGATAGTTTCAGAACTTGTTAGCACAGTATTTTGATTTTATCTAACGCAACTTGCACTTGACTAGGCAGTATTATGATCTGCAAACTTTCAAATAAAAATATTTTCTTAACCAGCAACTTGCTTAGTTAAAAGCGATTTCGCAATTTATGGTATACATTAATGTAAGAGCTAGTGTCTTATCCCCAGCATATGAAAACTTTTTTATTTTGTTTTGTTTTATCGAGACTGGATAAAATAGTCTATGATATATGCGTAGTGAAATCTAATAAAGAAGATTTGTTAACTGCTAGCTCCTCTTTTAAACATTAAATAAACTACTACTAGCGGAATGTACATATTATTGACTAGTTTAACTGAGCTTGTGTTACAGTAACATAGAATGGTTTATTAATGAAGATTTTAAAAAATAAACAACCAATGCATTATAGACTTCTGTCAATATTTTTGTAAAGCTTAAACAATTAAGAAAATGCACTAAAACTTGACCGAAGACTTTAAGTGAAATGATTGAAGGTCGTTCCCAACAGTGCCGACAGCCTCACTCTTGTTCTTCTTCCAGATCTTGAATTCCAATATTCCTTTGTGTAGACTTTTCCGTTTCGTCTCTTTAAACCCCACTATTGATGCCTAATCTTCTTCACTGTCGTTGCTACTACGTTTTTTATTTCTCTTTTGCTTCGTATATTTTTGACTTCATCTTTTGCTAATGACTTACGGGGACTCAAGTCAACATGCATCTATGCCAGGCATAGTTAGTGACTGACTCAACCCCAAATGCGCTGGTACGGCCAAGAGTAGGGAGAGTCCGCTCTCCCTCTAGAAATGTTCTCTCATGATCACGTGTATAAAGCCTCTGCCAGGGAAGTCCTACTCACTGCCTTCTCGTGGCACCACTGTTGTTTACGAAATTGAGAGGACAAAAAGCGAATGTCCGGCGCTTTAAACGGGTTGGTGGATATGGAAAGTCCACCTAGGGGGAGTTGGGAAACCGTGATTCCAAACCAATGGTGTACATGGGCTCCAGTATCCTAAGGGAACAAGTGGCGTATGAATCAACTGTTAGTCACCGGTTATCATGGGACTTCATCTCCTGACGTTGCTCCACTGCCTTGTGGATCAGACCCTTAGGTCAAAGGCTCAGGGTGTGGTCGCCTAAGAAAACCACCTGCTTCCGTTTCGGCACCCGAGCAGTATCATAGCCCACACACAAATCAAATGACTTGTGTGGCGCATGTGTATTCGGTGCCCCTTTGTACCAATATTTATGTGTTTAAATGAATAAATAAATAGACTGATTCAACATCATAAATCATCAAATACTCTTCTATTGTTAAATAACTTCACTTTTTTGGTACACAGTAATATTATTAGTCATCATTACTACTCACGATTTGCTTCAGTTATTTGTTAAGTAAATATGTAAAACTTATGAAAGTTGGGTATTACGTTTATAATTTAGATTTCAGAATAATCAACACATCACTAATTTGTGTGGGAATGTGTCTTTATTCAATTAAACATTCCTGTTTAACAGTAATTCGGTATTTTATATCTGATTTGCAAGTATAATTAATTTATTTCCAGCTTAGTGTGCACATGTGTGCTTTAACCTATATTACTATTAAGTATGATGTTAGGTTTACCTAAAATAAAGCTCATAGCTTTGGTCATTTGTTCCATTTGTTTGATTATGAATATAATCACTTGCTATGGCTACGCATATAACTGACCTAATTATTATGTAGTGTTTTTTCTATACACGATATCAATGAGAAATCGTTTTGAACAAACTTGTCATGTGATAGTTATTTGGAGTTTGTTTGCTTAGTGTGTTCTTACAACTTCAGTCAACCAGTTATATTTAGCGCGGAACCTGGTTCATCTCCATTAGTTCAAGATACTTAGTAAATTTGAAATTAATTTTGTTTATGAGTAAAAATGGGTCAAATACTTTATATTATGCCGGAATTTTATCAGTTACGAAACAGTTTTATTCATTCGACTCACTTCAACAAGATAAATATTGAAAAGTGAAAAGCACGCTAGACATCTATCTAGTCATAGTATAGAACTCTTCAACAGACCACGTCCACTACCTTTATTTAAGTCGCTTTGTGGTATAAATCATCTTTGTGATAAATAATCTCCCCGGTCCTTCTTAAATTCATAAAAATCTATTCTATCAAGATCGATCTTCGAAGTTCCATACGTAATCGCTTTCTCATGTACTGTCATCCATCAATTACTGTATTACTCTACTACCATTTTTTATTAAAACCGAGTCCATTTTTAGGGAAAATATCAATGAAAATTGTAGAGTTTTGTAATCACAAAATAGATAAAGCTTTTTAGTTCAATATTCGCAAAACTATTTCAAGTCTCTCACACAGATCAATTTGTGAGTAGTGTAATAATCTCTTTTTATTTCTTAATTTCAGATGATTCTTTAAAAAAAAGCAATTCTTTGATATGTCACACCATGTAAATTAAAGCAACATAATATAAGCAAACAATATTGTTTCCAATTAAATCATCATTCTTTACTTTCTTATATACAGTAATATTTCTGTGCATATATGAAATACTAAATCAACCAACGCACTTTATGAGTTTATGAAATAAATAAATAACATAACTGATCATAATAAGTATAAAGTAATAGTAAGATGGCAGGTGTGGTAGTAACGATAACAATAGTAAATAACATGAGCAAATATTTTGGCAGTGGGATTTGAATTAAACTTTTATATGAAATGAATGGGTGGTTAATCAGTTTAACTATGTCAGCGGTTAGACAGAGATGTATAAGAAGTAAATAAAGGAAGAGAAAAAAGGGTAGACAGCATTGATAAGACTGTCCGTCAACTTTTATTTGGCCGAACAAATGAAAGAGGTATAATAAACTTCTTTAGAATGGAAAAATTAAGGGTTGGTGGCTCTAATCTCTATAGCTTCTGCATCCTGATAGATATGAGATCTAATGTCATTGGGAGAAA